AAAGAGATTGTAAGCTCAATCTTCCAGGTGTAACCATCACACACAATCTGGAACACGAACTCAAACTGGCATGATCGGTGCCTCAACACATACAATTTCTCATGAATAAACATGAGTGGGACAGCGACACATTTTAAGATATCGACTGGAAATGCCATGGGAGGGCACTCAATCGCTGGGATCACCATCGCACCTCCCTCACCAAGTAACTTTGCAATTGGCACCCCGTCGTTAAACGTGTCAACAAATAACACCCCAAATATCCCATTGCCTGCGCATCCTGTGGTGCCCCAGAAGAAAACAGTGAACACGTCCTGAGATGCCCCAAACGACAATCAGAACGAACGGCATGGAAGAAGGCACTAAAGAAATACACCGACAAGAACAACACTCACCCAATGCAACAAACACTTCTTCTCTCAGCACTCCGAAAAGTACTCGATGGAGAAGATACCACAGGAATTGAATACGATGATAGTGTTGCCGATATCGCAATCGCCCAAGCAGCCATCGGTTGGGATCAGCTCCTCAAGGTACGACTATCCAAACAGTGGGCGCAACGACAGGATCAACAACTTAAGGAATGCAATCTCAAAACACATCGGAAAAATGGCAAAACCTGGCTCACAGGGATTATTCAATAATTGCTCAACCAGTGGTTTGAACTCTGGGAGGCCAGGATTCATGATCGGCATGGCAAAGAAGCACAAACAAAGGCACAGGCAGCCAACCGACAGGTTATCCATGAACTTCAGCTGCTTTATGACAAATACACCGGAAACCTCCGAACGGAACAGGCATGGCTTCTCCCAACACCAATCAACACAAGATCCCAATGGCCCACGGCATCAATCCGACAATGGATCAACACTTGTGAACCAGTCCTTGAAGAGCGTTACGCCACACAGCTTGACACTGGGTAATTGATGCAGGAACTCCACTTCCCATCCTTCCCAATTTCCCTCCTGCGTCGCTTCGTCCCTCTTTTTCTCCCTCCATCCAACCCACCAAGTAACTCCCCCTGAATCCATTCGGCCAAACCCACAAATCAGTTAGGAATATATGTCCGGCAAATCCACACGAGATATGCCATTTATACTTACATGTAACTTTAAATGCACCATCTCCCCTAGGGAGTGTGGTGCCGGTGAGGGAACCAGTGGTGGTCTCCTGTGAAACCAACCCCCGCTTCGGCCGGGAGCGGTTACCCAAAGCTTCGGCTGCAGCACAGTGATGATCCGTCCATTGGGGCCATATCCGTTATAAAGATTTTGTTGTTTGTTTAGAGCAGACATTTCCATACATGTGCTTCTCCTAGCTCTCCAAAGTTATTTCAACTATTTCGAACTACTAGAGTAAAACTCAATCATCACTTAGGCTTGAGGGTTGCCAGCATGCATGGCAAGGAGCTGCTGCAAAATAGCATTGACTTTGCTGAACTGTTCCAACATTGCATCATTCTGCTTCTGCTGCTGGTCCAACTTGGCGCTCACGGCATCAATCTGCATCTGCTGCTGGTCCATTTTGGCACTCATGGCAGCATTCTGCTTCTGCTGCTGGTCCAACTTTGCAGCAATGCCGTCATTCTGCTTTTGCAATGAAGCCAGCTCCTCAGCAACGCCATCCTCTGTTTCCTCCAAGTTGCGTTCTCTGATGGTAGTACCACACTCAGTTTCAATGACACTTTTCAAATTGTCATGAGCAAGTTTCACATTCTCATTGGTTGCCACCATATTGTCATAGAGCACAGCAGTGTTCTCATAGGCCTGGATTGGCTCAACATTTGAAGGGTCTGACAAACTTTCCCGTATAAACTCTGAAATATTGAAAGCCTGTGGGGATTGTCAATTTGGCCGAATTAAAAGTATACTGATTTGAACAGACTGCAAGAAGCACAGATAAAGCACATACCATTTCCAGGAATGAAAGAGCGACTTTCAAGATCAAATAAATACTATTGACAATAACACAACAGACTGTATCGCCAAATGGACCATCTGGACATTTGTAGGCCATAACACACTCAACAGTTGTGTCAATAGGTGCAAAGATTTGTGAAATGTAGAAGTTTGCAGCCTGCCACGCCTCGCCGTCTATAACTGCATACGATCCAGAGCGAACTGCAAGCAAGGGTTTGAAGGACAGGGTGAGGTCAACCAATGCACAGAACAAAAACAAGTGTGATCTGAAGACACTTACCCCGATCTGGTGTCGACAGAGCTTCCCAGTCCACAGCAAACTCCTCTCCTCTTCCAACTTCTGAACCCTGATCAAAGAACTCTTCCAAGAAGGCAAAGTTTTGCGTATTGTGAAGTTGCTGGACTTGGTCACAGATTTCCTGCAGAAAGACAGAAGAAAGATCAAATGGTGTGAGCACTCAAGAGAATGCAACAATACAAAAACTTGGTTTATAGCTAGAGTGGCTCACCAAGTCATGAGTATAGAGCTGAAAGAAAAGAAAGAAATCGGCATGAGGCAATATTCACAAGTTTCTCTTTTAACTCAAAGTTTGGGTGGCAATCCTCGCTCACTTACAGCATCATAGCCAAAGTACTCTCTGCTACTGCCACAATCATCAGGGTCTGTGGCTGTACCAACTAAACCACCCTTCAAATATCTGGACATTGAGAAGGTGTCAGCAAAAGTCTCTGCAAGAAGATATGCTGCAGAAACCAAAAAAGTTGAAACAACCGTTTGCACTTACTCAGCATAGGCACCCTTCTTGTCAGCCACAGCAGTGTCATACTCAGTTTGAACACAACTCTGGAGATCAGAACAGTCAGTGTCAGCTGCACACCACGTTCCACCATTGGCAGCGCAAGAATCGTCGCTTAATCCAGCAAAGAAGGGCCCAGGGTAGGTACAGGTGGTGTCACAGTCATGCTGTATGGATCGTTGAAACAGAGACACATAATAGATGAGAAAAGACTCGCTGCAGAGGGGGGAGGCGGTCACCTATCGATGTAAGTGACTTACTTTTCGACCCCAATCATCACCTTCATTTTGGAAAGGGGCACTCAAACAGCAATATCCTAGGGATCAAATGTATGGTTGAGGACCCAGCTTAACACTGCTGCAATCCTCTGTCATTACGAGAGCGTACCTGGCCACTTCTCAGGAGCAGCAACCACTGCCTCCTTAATCCCACAAAGGAAGCCAACCGATCTAGTTTTCAGCAGCAGGACATTAGCAATAGGTATCACATCCAAATTTCACCCATCCTTCGTAGCTAAACTCACGTTTTTTCACCGAAGACAAGATCAAAACCAAGTTGGATTCTCTGGAAAGCTTCATAGTATGATGCTGCTTTAGTGTTCAACAGCCATTCAGCAACACTGTCATAGCTGTCATCGTACTCTTCCTCGCTGCCACCTTCGCCATATGCATCATTCAATCCTGTCCTGATTTCCTTTTTCAGAGCCTTCAAACCTTTCCTAATTTTCCCCTGCCTGTTCCTAACAGTGACTTGTGTGCGATCTCCAGGTGGGAATTCGCCATCAACCATAAAGGTCAAAAAGCTGATAGCTTCATCGGCCTGGTAGTACGCGAACGCTCCCTGGCCAACACTCCCATCTGTATCAGCCCAGTTCTTGGCCATGGGCATTATATCACCTCTGTTCTCTTCTGTTGTTTCTGAGTGCATCTTTTTGTACACCATTTGCAGTTCATTCGCATACGTGTCAAGATCCGTCATGGGGTCCCCCTTATACTCAAAGACTGGTTGTGTTACATCCTCGATCTGCCCATTCTCATCACGGTTGTCCAACTCAATTCCCGAGGGAGGAACAAGGATATTGACACCGTTGCTGTACTGTTTTGTGTAGAAGTCAACATTGAAAATCGAATATTTGATGGATCCATAGAGCCTCAGAACGATGTAGTCTGGTGGTGTAGGCATGAAGCCAAGAGGAATTGTGTGCTTCTCCACACCCAGAGTGACAGATGCTCCACCTCCATTTATTGCGCTCACTTGCTGTGATGAATCGACAGCGTGGGTTCCTGAGAGACTATTTAAAACTGTTGTCCAACCCCACTCCCCCTGCTTTCTTGCCAAGATCTTGTAAGAATCAGGAAGAAAATCTCCGTCGCGGAAAGTAATTTCCATCTGGTCAATTCGTTGGAGGGTCCCGTCAAATTTGAAATAAATATTTTGAGTCGAATCACATAATGTGTCATCATTATCATCAACAAAACATTTCCACTCAGTGCTGACACCATCATCCTCATCATCAATAAGGTTCTCTGGAAGGAAGTCAACATCATTCGCATTGGCTGAATTATCAACATAAGGCACTTGCTCGGAATTGTGGATGGTAATGGCCAGCCCACTCTCTGTGACATCAACCATGCTTGTAGATGTCATCAGGTCTGTTGTGCTCAAAGGGAATGGCTGTGAAGACAACCCGGTGTTGTACAGATCTTGGGCACAGGTAAACATTTGTGCAGCCACCTGCCTTGCATAGTAGGATCCAATCTTGAGAGCAATCTCATCAAGCTTCAGGAAGGTATGACTGTTTATTTGTGGGGCGAACCAGTCAGATATTGTATGTTCTTTTGGGAAACTTTCCAGCAACAGTTCCAGACAGTCTGAAGTGAGGGTACTTACGTTCCTTCTGCCAAGCACACCTGTGAAACCATGCCTGCAATAGTAAGGTTGGGTGTGAGATCAGAAGCCATCGAAAGAAACCAAAAACGACTCTTATTCTGTACTTACCACCCTCCCAATAAGGCACACCAGCAAATTCCACGTTCCTGTGAAAAAGTTGGAGCAATGAATCACATTCATTATCATCTGTATACGCAGTTTCATCGTCTCCATAAGCTGTGAAAAGGGTATTTGCATTAAGGATGATTCGAGAGTACATGTCCTCAAGGTCCGCTTCGTTGAAGAGGTAGATTGAGTCATCAATCTCTCCAGTAGTTGGGTCGATGTCATCACTGTAAAAGAAAACCAGGACATCGTAGAAGCTCATTTCCTTGGCACACATCGTAAGCTGGTGACACTGTTTTGACTTGTCTTCCGCATCAGTCAGCCGACGACGGCGTCTTCCGTCAGCCCTTGACTTTCCGGCTTTGGTTGCTGCGGCCCTAACAACCTTGCCAATGTGTTCATGGTCAGCACTGAGAATAGCGTCATGAAGCTTGGTGATGCGTTGATGCTGATGGGCAGCGCGATGATTGCCCTCAAAGTGATCTGCATTACGGAGCTTGGCTAGCTTGCGGCGGTGATGAGCTAAAAAAGTTGGCTCGTCCTTGGGATTGCCACTGCCTTTGCCAAAGGTGGTCTTGGAGCCAGTGGTGACGCTTGGCTTTGGTTCGGACTCATCATCGTCGGGGTCATCAGTATTGAGCGTCTTCAATGTTCTCTTCATTTTCGTGGCAACAGGGGGATCGGCCTTCTCCTGTTCCTCCAAGCTGTTGAGCATGTATCCAAGGACTTCAGGGACAGTTTCAAGAAACTTCTTGAGGTGGATTTTGGAACTGTTAATAGCTCCATCAAAGAAATCATTGCCATACGGTTCCATTGACTCCATCTCCTCCAACATGAGTTCAATGCCATCAACAGCTCCTTCAAAGGCTTGGATGCGCGTGCCAAGGTCCTCCGTCTTCAATGCTTCCACAGCCTTGGCCATGGCAGCTGAAGAGGCGGCATGCTGTTCCATCATCTTGGCTTGAAGGAGACTGGCACGATCGTCGGGTTCATCTGGAAGGACGAGTCCAGCAGCGTGCGCATCGGCGTGAAAATCGGCGTGATTTTCGTGGTCCCCCACTCCATTTGCAGACTGTCAAGATACAGAGATCATTCGAAAGGGTAAACGAAGGCAAACAACAACATCAAGTCAATTTTCAGATGGTGGGATGAACAAGGATGTGGCTGAAATCCTTACCAAAACTGCCGTCGAGGGCACAACAGAAGCCACTCCCGCAAGGAAGGAAATGGCAATCGAGGAAAGCTTCATGTTGAGAACAGGTTCAAGCGGCTATCCACGTAGGTGTTGGTTTGGCTGAGGATGTGTCTTGCTCTCGCTGTTGCGATTGCAGTGATGTTCTTTGGTGGACAGTTGTCTCGAAAAGAAAATTATGAGTCTCCTTTCGGTCCGTTCGGAGGAAACAGCGCGACTACTAGTCGCCCTTTCAGGCCCAACGCAATTGCTACATTCGTTCGCGGCTGCTTTGGAGGCTTGCAACGGTGGCAACTTGGCAACAGCATTGATTTGTTACAGGTGCTGCAACTGCTACCGGCCCTATGAGCTACGGTAGCAGCTAGCTACCGTCGGCAGTCACAAGCCCTGTGCGCAGTCACAAGCCCTGTGCGCAGTCACAATACAAGCTCACGGTCAACAAGAAATAAGTCAGCAAGCAGCCTGTAATAATTTGCCAGCATCAGCTCATCATCATCTCAGCAAAGACCTTCAACAGCAAGGTCCGGAATTCGGCCGTTTTCATTCGTGCATGGGCATGTTAGTTTTACGGAAATGTCATTTCCGTAATTAAGGAAATCAGTTCTACGGAAATTTCCGTAAATCAAGGAAACGCTTCCGTAAAACTCTAGTTCTACTGAAACTGTTTTCAGTCGTGTTTACAGTACCTTTCTACGACAGATTTACGGTTTTCGAGTTTTACGGTTTCTAGTTTTACTGAAACTTTCCGTAAAACTGTTAGTTCTACGGAAATTTTGGTACAGTCAACATTCAGATATATATACAGGGGGGATTCAGGAATCCAGTAAATATAACAGTGTGTCTAAATATAGAGCGTTACTGCTACTAACCACTAGTAAAGAACGAGTGGAGAGTGCCATCACGTTTGCGTTTGCCAGCCCTTGTCGCCCTGGCCATATTCAAGGCTCTGGCAAACCTATCAAGATGCACAGTAGCAGCTTGGTTGATACCCAAGCTGGAGGCACTTTCGGACAGCTTATTGAGCGCCTCTTCGGCTTCGGCAAATGAGGCAAACACATCGGCAGGTTCCGGGTCAACGTCCATCGGTTCAGGCTCCTCATCATCAAGGACAGCCAGTTCATGTTGGTCTAGGTCGGATTGGAGGAATTGTTATGGTTTGCTTGCACTTGTTTTGTTGCTCAGAGAATTGTTTTTGTCTCCTCTTTGCCATTCTGCGCAAATCTCGCGAAAACACCATGAAAAACCCCACGAACGAAGATTTGCGCGGACTGGCAGAGAATGGACAGGCAAGCGAACTCCCATCGGCACCTCATCGGCATGCATTGGCATGCATTGGCATTTACACGTATGTCTCTGTCGAATTGGACCGTTTGCGATGGATTGCGAGCGATTGTTTTGCTGCTACGAGATTTGCGAAGGGTGTACTGATGTCATTCACGGTCACTCGTGACTGGGGGGGGAACTCGAGATATAATAAATATTATAGAGCGAATAAATATAAGATTATAAATATAAGCGAGCGTTAACTGTAACTCACGGAAATGCAAAAACGGTAAAACTAGAAACCTTAAATTACGGAAATGGACCTCCAGTCTTGTTTCCTGGACTGATTCGGGACCTTGCAGCTGCTTCAACACAGACCCGTTCGGTTTGGCCTGGGGACTTGGTCATTAATTAATTTATTAAGTACTTGTATCTGACAACCTCGGTTTCCTGAATAAATTCCAGATCTTCTGCAACTGTCTACCAAACTGGTCTAATAGGTAGATGGGACAAATTCAATCTCAAAAAAAGCTGAGTAGACCAGAATCAAAGTTAGCTTTAATCCTGATTTCACCCCAACTACCTTTGTGAGATTGGCATTCAAATGCACCTTTTTACCTTTTTGATTGAAGCAGAAATTTTAAATTTTAAAGAAGACTTGACCTAGCGCTACTACTAGTATGAATAGTACAATAGTACCACTGGACCTCTGTGGAAATGTTGATTAGTCGTGGGTAGGTCTCCTAAGTCGTTATTAAGGACTTAACGTCTCCTATTTTTGGAGACGTCTCATATTTAAAGAAGCCTTCTACTAATTATTAGGAGACATCACCTATTAGACACTAAGATACTCTAAGATACAGGTTAGTTATCTCGCGTACGTCTCCTATTGCTTAGGAGACGTCTCCTATAAATAAGCGACGTGTGCTATTTAAGGATACGTCTCATATTTCGAAACCATGTCTTTTAAGTAGCTCACGTCTCCTATAGGAGACGTATTAAGTCTCTTATCGAAATACCCACGATTCAATGTTTCCACAACGGTCCTGCCGTAAAGCCGTAAAGTCTTCACTCAGAGTACAGGTATAAAGTCGGTTTTGGTCCATCGCTTTGAGACATCAGCGATACTATAGCAAAAACAGTACAATATCAGAAACCTTCTGTCTCACTCTCTATTTGCTGAGTTAACGGGACTCAATAATGGACCAAACTATTTAACTTTCTCACAAAAAGTATAACGAAAATGAAATATTCGTTTAACATAGGGTATGTGATGTTAAATCATGTGGTCAGTATGGGTAACATGCTATGAGTCAATGGTACTTGAGGTCGATTTCGTATTAATCTACTTATGGGTCAAGCGGACATTGAGACAGTCATTTGCTTATAGACAGTTTTGGTCCATTTTTGGGCTGTAGCGCTGGTACACTTTCTACGTGTCTCACCCACTTCCTTTATTAAATCGTACCAGCAGGTGGTAGCTTGACTTGCTAGACCATGGTCCGCGCGTAGTTCTTTGGCACGAGTCGTGACCGAGACTTATATTAGTAGAGTAGTCTACCCAGTACCAATTACCAACTTTATGTACCGGTGGATGGTTGGTTGGATGGATGGATGGTTGGAATCGTTGGATGCTTGGATGGTTGTTGATGAGAGTTTGAGGCTTCTAGCTAGTCTAGTTGAGAGATTTGATACGGGTGGTAGAACTGCTGTGCTCTGAATCGAATCTCAATCGATCCTGAATGGTTAGTTTACTTCCTGAGGACTCCGAGGAGCCCTGAGGAGTATAGATTGCTTCCTGGTCTTGAGAACCATCCACAGCTCCATGCTCCATCCACCATGCTAGAATCGAATGATGAATCGCCCCTAAACAACTTATGGGTGCAGTGGCTTCACCAAAGCAACCGAGGCAAAGATCTCAAGGGTCAAGGGGGCTTTGGCAAAGCGCGCTTACATAAGGACAGGGCACAGACAAAAGCTGTGCACTGGTTGGGCAACTGATGTTCCTTACAGCATCAGCCACTCCGCTCCCACTAATCATTTCGAACGAAGCAACCCTAACTGCCTGCCTGCGTGGCACTGCGCTGATGCTGAGAAGAGGAATTGTTGCAGCTGCGGCTTTGTACCCCGTACCGTAGCCCTCCTCAGAGATTTCAGTGTCGGTGTCAATAATTGCACATGGCTACTCTAGTACTCACTAGCTACTAGCTAGAGAAGCCATTGTAAGATTGTCGTCGTCTAGCTGCTCTAGATCAGTGATGAGAAGTTAGTTACCAGGTACTTGTAACTAAGGGATTGATCTCCGAAGTGGGCAATGGGTTGGTCTACTAGCTAAAGAGATGTATGCCATAGTAGACGGGAGACCATCCACTCTGAATCGACTCGACTCTGCCTCGACTCGACACGACTCTGTGTTAGTAAATGTCGTTACCGGTCCTAAGGAGCTTGGCTAACAGGAGTAACAGGAGATCCCAATCCCAGGCAGTTCTCCGCCGAACCAGGACACAAGTTTATGCAGCAGATGTAGGTCCCAGCGCTGCAATCGATAATGCCCGTCAGCTCTGTGGCTGGCCGACGGAAGCAAGATGTAGCTACATTTAGTCCATCCAAGCAGAAGATGCATGTAGCTAGTCCATCCAAGTAGCAGTTTGTTCCCCCTTTCCCTTCCCACTGCCGCACTCCCCATAGAAGCGGCCCTGGAGCTCGAGACCATCCTTTCCAATCACCCTTGGGATATGATGCAGGCCTCGAGTGAGGAGGTTCCAGCTTCATCGTCCTTCTGGAGGTAGCAAATCGACCACAATTACCGGTACAGTAATCTTGTCTGACTTTTGAACCACTAGCCTTAAGTATGTTGGCTGTTTAACCCTACGGTACCGGTACGACCTCCAAAGCCTCGAAAGCCAAAGACCAAAGAATCAAAATCCAATTGAGCCGATTGAGCCAAGCCATGGCAATCGGCTTGTCATCCCATTTCCCTTTCCTCTGTGGGTCTTCTTTCTATTACTGTACTAGAGCTAGCAACCGGTAGCTAGCTAGATCATCACTTCTAATTAGTGTTCCCTTCGCAGTACCTCAATACATACGGTAGCACCATGGCCAAAAGCAATAGCAACAACATGCGACAGCGCAAACAGCAACGAGCCAGTGAGCGAGCAGCCGTTGACCACTCCAACAAAGACGAGGATGACAAGGTTCACAAACGCAAGTCGTCGGCAGCTAGAAAGTCAAAAACGAGTGGCTTTCCTGCTGGTATGAAACTAATTGTGGCCATGTTGCTGGTGTTGGTTGTCTTTCTAGTATTGGCGTTGGTTATTGAACATGGGGAGGAAGAAGAAGAGGACAGCACGAGCCGAAGAGCTCAAGAAACAGCCAGCCATCAACAGTCCCATCATGATCACGATGGTCCTCTGACACAAGTTTCCAAGAACTACAGAGTCGTCAAGACACTTCCTCATGATCCAAAAGCATTTACACAAGGTCTGACATTTCGTCCTGACAACTCGACGATTCTCTACGAATCCACAGGCATGTACAATGACTCCGTCATTCGAGTGTTGGATCTCAACAACAATGCCCAAATACTGCAAGAAATCAAGTTGGACGAGAAATATTTTGGCGAAGGATTGAGTTATTTTGAATACCCACCAAACACAAAAGCAAAGCACCACCACAACAAGGGACTCGTCCACTTTACTTGGAAAGAACTCACTGGATTCGTTTTTGACGTGGATACTCTGGAAACGTTACAAGAATTCGCCTTTACGACCACCACCAATGAAGGCTGGGGGATTATTCACGTCCCCAACAATCCCAATTACGACTTTATCGTGAGCGATGGCTCGGCCAATCTACACTTTTGGGACAAGGACTATAAAGAATGTCAACCCCCTTTGGAAGTGACGTATCTGACGCAAGACATGCTGAATCAACAACAAATGACCAAACCTCGAGGCATGCGATTCTTGAATGAACTGGAATGGGATCCCACCACCAACACGATATTGGCCAATATTTGGTATCAAGACTATATTGCACGGATCAATCCGACCACGGGGTTTATCGAGATGCTGTACGATTTGCGGGGACTGTACCCCTACCGACCCCCCGGAACCGATGTCTTTAATGGCATTGCACTGCATCCAGTGGATGGACAGCTGTGGGTGACTGGGAAGTACTGGCATCAGCTGTACCAAATAGAATTGGATGTCGATCCAGAGGCAGAAGAAGCAGAAATGCCATTGTAGAATTTGACGTTTTCGAAATCGGGCAAAGATGGATGTCGCTTTTTTACAGGCAAGAAAGTTTTTGGAGGCCGTGTGCTGTGTGATGATGATGTTCCCAATAGATTTCATTCCTCTTCTCCATCGACCGACCGACTAGCTAGAGTTTTGTGGAGCTTGGTTGGTGCTACTAGGCCGCTTTTTGTTGACGTTTGTATATTTATTTTTCTGACGTCCGACAGTGGATTTCTGGGATGCGGGCTTCATCAGACGGAACCTTCCGTAACGTTGCGACCACTCACTCACTCTCATCAGGCATGCAGAGGCACAGCCCGATATCCTTTCAGCTTGGGAGACTCGGGAAACATGGTACCGGTACCAGTACGATGTACGTTAATTATTATAGCTAATAAATAAAGATTCTTGTGTACAAGAAGGAATCTTGTTTGAGAGCCTTGATGTTATATCCTGTTTTGATATAACTGGTTCATTGGTGCATTTGTAATTAAAAGCCAAAAGAGCTCACTGGTATACAGGTGGATTGTCCTTTAACAAGTTGATGGTGAAATGGTAACAGCTTTTCTATCTTTCGGCTTTTGGTACCGGTACCACGTACCACGCACCTGTTTGGGCAGTCACAAAAAGACCGCTCAACTCCCGCTATTTCGATATCCTCTGCTTACGCAGCTACTGAACCATTTCATCCGGCCAAACAACGAACCACAACAAAGACAGCGTACAGGAAATTTTAATCAGTTTCAAGACCAAGTAATTGTAGTGATCGAGGGAGCATGGTTCGATGTGCGAGCTAGTAGTACCTTACGACTAGCTAGCTTGGTATCTATCTATTGTGACGGCTCCCTCCCACACACACTCCATTCGTTCGTTGTATCGATATCGATCGATATCCGTTGAGACAGAACCATGGCGGAGGACCATCGTCGGTCGAGTGGTACTACCGCCAGTCGTCGGTCGAGTCGTCGGCACAGTGCGAGCAGTGTCTGTTCGACGGCAACCGCAGCGACAACGACCAATCATTTTACATTGCGTCCCTTTCGTCGAGTCCCCGAAGAAGAAACAATCGTAAAGGCATTGGACGCGTCGTCGCAGGGCGTTCAAGTCGTCTTGGTCCAAGGTGCCAGTGGCGTGGGCAAGAGTCTGTTGGTGCGAGTGGCACTGCAAGACAATACCAAAGCATGGATGGGAACGGCCAAATCAGAATTTCAACGATCGCCTTTGCCGTTTGCGCCACTGCGTCAATTGTTGGCCGACATTGGCAATCAGGTTTTGGAGGCGCCGTTGGATGTGCAATTGTTAGTCAAAGAAGAATTGCGCATGGGATTGACCAAGAATCATCAATTGCTACTCCGTGAAGCCGTGCCCAGTTTGGGAGATATTCTCGGTGTACAGCGAGACAGTCTCCTGTCGTCGTCCGCGTTGTACCATTCGTCCACTTTTGGAGGATCCTTCCACAATGCCAGTTTTAGCATTCGCAGCAGTTCCAATTTGAACAACAACAACAACAACATGAACGGTAGTAGTAGTAGTCATCACTGCAACAACAACCACAACCACAGCAACCATACTACTACAACAAGTCAAAGTCAACATGGAAGAGCCGAAATCATTACCAAAAATGGACTCGATCTGCTCAAATTGGCCACCCGCGCTTTTTTCAAGGCCATTACCAGTGTCCGACCCACTGTGATTGTCTTTGACGATATCATGTGGAGTGACGAAGCCAGTCTCTACGTACTCCTCTCCCTACTGACGGATGAAACACAAACCAATCTGCTGTTTTGTGCCACCTATCGCGATAAGATTGCCCAACCACAAGACGAAGCACAATTGCGACAATGGAAATCGACTCTGGCAGAACGATTGCCACCACACAGAATTCACGAAATTCACCTCGAAAATCTCAATCTACCGCAAGTCACACAGTTGCTCGCCAATTCCATGGGATACGATTGTCACAATCCACAGTGTCCCATTCATTATAATAGTAATCAAGATCCAGATGATGATGAACAAGAACAATCTACAAGCAACAACAACAACACTCCAGACCCATCCCTCGAATTACTCGCCCGCGTTTTTTGCAAACAAACCAAAGGAAATCCATTCTTTATTGCCCAACTCGTCGACAATCTATACGCCACCAATGCCATTACATGGAATGATGCTTGTCACCAGTGGACCTGGGAATTGGACGATATTTCAAGGCGTGTGCGACAATCCCCCCAAGTCGTTACGGTCGTGTCGAAACGATTGGAACGATTGCCCCACGATATGCTCGGCATTCTCAAATTGGCATCGTGTTTGGGATCGAGATTCACATTGGCATCCGTACAAGCGTGTCAATCGATTTTTGAGATTGATGTCCTGGACGAATCGTTGGAATTGTTGTGTCAACAAGATTTCCTCGTGCGATTGGACGACGAACAGTACAAATTCTTTCACGATACCATTCAATTGGCAGCGTACAGTTTGATTGCCACGACAACATGTTCCAATAATAGTAGTGAAGGAGAACAACCACAACAAACAACAACGTCACTGCAAGAAGAAGAAGACAAGGAGGAAGAGGAAAACGAATCCAAAATTGACGACGCCCAATCGTCCGACAGTGACGACTTGAAAATGATTCAATTGCATTGGAATATTGGACGGCTCTTGCTAGAACTCATTCAACAACAGGACGAAACTAATGATGATTGGTTGTTCTTTGCCTGTGTCGATCAACTCAATCTGGGACAACAATTTGCGGCTGATTCCGTACAATGGTGTTCCAAGGTTGCCAAATTGAATCTCAAAGCGGGGAAAAAGGCCGCTGCACTGTCCGCATTTCAACCTTCGTCAGTCTATCTCCAAGAAGGCATTGATGTGCTCGGCAATCATCTAGCATTTGACAGGCAAGAATTCTACGATTTGGCCATTCAATTGCATTCCCTCTTTGCCAAGACGGAATTCTGTATTGGACATATCGAAGAAAGTCGGGCATTGGCCAATCTCGTTGTCGAACATGCCAAGACGGCCAAGGAAAAGGAATCGCCCTACTTGACACTCATTTCCTGCTACTTTGCGTCCAACGGGATTAGTGAAGGCGTCGATTTTTGTCTCGATCGATTGGAATCGCTAGGGGTCAAACTGCCCCGCAAACCCAGTTCCTTGCAGGCATCGTTGGAACATCAACGCCTACTGCTCTTGTTGCGGGGCAAATCCAATCCGTTTTGGTTGTCCTTGCCGCGTATGAAGGATGAAACCAAAGCCGTGGCCTTGCGGATCTTGTGCGAATTGGTACTTCACGCCCATCAGATTGGACGCACGGCGTTGTTGTGTTTTATTACAAGGTACGTACGATACACGAAACTACCGTGGTTGATGGCGTTTTGGAAGACATATTCATATCTATGTGCTCATGCTCGTCGTTTCTTCGCTGTGTAGCCACATGATTCGAATCTCGATCGACTATGGGTCTAGCAAATTCACAGCCGAGGCATTCGCCTGCATCGGAGCCCACTTGTCCAGTCATGGACACATCAAAGAAGGAGCGCGATTTGGCAGTCTCGCAGAAGAACTATTTCAACAATCCTTTTTCAACCGAAAACAATACAAGGGGAGAACCTACCTCTGGGTGGCAACCTGCACCAAATGGATGGAGCCACTGACGCATAGTTTGGATCTCTTGACCAAAGGAAACGAATTCTGCATGGCAGCGGGAGAAATGGTGTATGCCTGCCAATGCCAAGTCATGTACTCGACACACTTTTTCTACAGCGGACTGGCACTGGATCCGTTGCTCCAGGATGTGGCAAAGTTTTGTTCCCTCATGCTCGAGTACCAACACTACACGACATTTCAAATTCTGTCCCCACTCTGGCAATGTCTGCTGAACTTGACGGGAAACTCGAAAGACCCAAAAAACATGCAAGCTGGATTGGCCATTGAAAAGAGGAAGATGGTCATGAACAAGGCCAACACGGGACAACAGTTTCTGAATTCGTATTGGATGCAAGTGGCGTACTATTTGGGGGACTACGAAAAGGCTTCGGAGCTGGCAGAAGAATTAAAATCGCAATCCGAAGGCCTGACCAAAGCCATGGTCTACTACCCTGCTCGAGTGTTCTTCTTTACACTCATTGCAATCCACAACTTTCGCGTGACCCGCAAGCGCAAGTACAAGGTGGAGGCATGGAAATACCTCAAAACCTTCAAAAAGCTCGTCATGGGAGGGGCCGTGAATGTGGTCCACAAGCTGCAGCTTTTGAAAGCAGAAATGTCGGGTTTATCGACTCGAAAATCAGTCGACAAGGTCATTGATCGTTATGCCCTGGCGATCAGCTCTGCACGAAGTAAGTTCTCCTTGTGCATCTTTTTGGTGTGCAGCTCGTTGTTCGAGGTTGTTTTCTCAGCTTCGTTGGAATCATTGTTTCTTTGTGGGTACAGGAGCTGGCTATATCCAGGATGCCGCTCTCGCCAATTACTTGTGCTTTCAATTTTGCCACAACCGTCAAGAGAAGGAGATCAAGGGACACTACCTACAGGAGTCCTTGAGCCTCTGGAAAATGTGGGATGCAGTTGCCGTGGCAAATTCGCTGCGACGACGTCATCCAGAAGAGTTCAGAACACTCGCCTCTGTACAATTCAACAACGGTAGCTTTAGGAGCCGCACAGTCTTTGACGCAAGCCTGATGGAACAACACAAGTTTCTTCCTGTCTAGCTTCACTACACCTTGGATCTCACGGCGAGTAGCCACATCGACTCGTAAGACATCGGTCGACGGTAGATGCGCTGCAACATGGAAGTTGCCGAAGTTTCCAACAATTCACTCGTTTGGCCGCAGCTGAACACGAGGCCAACCAATTGACCTCTTGCTCGAACCAGCGCGATAGTGCTCCTGTCTCCACGATAAACGCTTGCTGGACACGAGCACAGCCTCTACGACAACCAGGTTCACATCTGTTTGGTCTGGTACGAAATCCCGCGGTTGCCGCAGCGGAACTCTCTACATCTACCGGTACAAGGCAAGGAATCAAAGAATCTAGAACCTTGCTATCAACCCAATGCCTGAGATTCTGCTCAACCAATGCTCCAAAGCACAACGCAGCACACAGCCACCATTTCATTGCTCAGCAAACCAATCCAGCCATAATCCGAGGGTATTCGACCAGTCTCTAGGGCAGACTGCCCATCACACCACCATCTCCACTCTGCTCAGGAACTGCCATCAAATGATCGACCGACCGAAAGCCTTTGACCTGCGCGCAGCCAATCCAAATGTTCCCTGCCAAGGTGCCTAGCACAGCGGGCTCTTGATCGGAGTACCCAGTAAATGGCGCACGGCACACTGCGCACGATGTGGGGGGTAAGGATGTGTTTGGTTTTTGACACGACGCTATTCTGAACATAAGAGATCAATTTTGCTACATACGCGCCCATCCCTCCACGGCGAAGAACTTAGAGTTGTCCCTGCTCATGCCCCATCGTGTCTGTACATGTATGTAGGTCAGAGGACTGGACCTTGCGACTTCAGTGTCGTTTAGACCTATCCCAGTTGGGCGCTGTTGCCTCTTTGATACTTTGCAATGTCTCTGCCCGTATCCTTCCATTGTCCTTGTGAGACAGGAGCAAATGTTTGAGCTTTGTGTTTTCAGGAAAGATGGAACGAAACGCATCGGCTCCTGTTTGGGTGATATCGCACTCGACAAGTGTAAGCGTTTCGATGGTCGTGTCATTGCTTTTCAAGGCATTGGCCAAGAGAATTGCGCCCTCGTCACCAATCCCTCGATTCATGCTCAACTCCAGTTTCTGCAGGTGTTTGGTGAGTGGAAGCAAATCACGAATCCCTCGCGGTGACAGTCTGTTGTTGGTCAAGCCTAACATTGTAATGTTGGTTTGTAAAATGCTCTTTGTCAACTCCAGCATCTCCTCGTCCTCCAATCGGTTGCCCGTTAGCGAGAGCTCTTTCAAGAGTGATGCTTGGTGTAGTTGAGGAAAGCTGTCCGCAATGGGGTTGGTTCTGAGAGGAAGTATTCGTTGGGACCAAGACGGGCGGTACGTGTAGTCAAAACCCAGCAAAGAAAAGGGTCTCGTCCCCAAGGCTTTGTACAAGCTGCCTATCCCGTTGCGAGTAATAGCAGTTCCTCCAAGAGCAAGCCACGTAAGGTTTTGATTGTTGCCTCCTCCACTCGCGACCAGATTTGCCAAACCAAGAGCCGTCTCGTCACCGATCAAGGTGTTTCTTCCCAGCAACAGCGATGTGGTGTAAGCATGTGGGTGTTCCAAGGCTGCCAACACATGTTTGACCCCTCGATCGTCAAAGATATTGGCAATTAAATTGAGATCTTGTATGTACTTGAACTGCTCTGATTCATTGCGGGAAAAACGCTCAAAATGAGTTTCCAATGCCCTTGCCAACCGCTTCAGATAGCCATTGCTCAAGCCCTGGGCTTGCAGGGGGCGAGACTCTTGTTGGTAGGAAATGCCCGTCAGCTTTGATTCGTGTTCCAGCTGATGCAATACCTGCTCCATTGCTCGACACGGTCTAATGGAGTGGTAGGCAGAAGCCATCCAATTGGTCGTTGTTGCAGGCAAGATGGCACCAGCCATTACAAGTGAGAGTCCAATGACGTAGACCATACTCAATACCAGCTGCCATGAAATCTTTCTAGTAGATTGAGAGGAGGGTACTAGTACGCAACATGACAGAACCACCAAACAGGTGGAAAACGCAAGAAGATTCATCGCTTTCACCACGAGATCGGCTGAGGGCACAATAGCAGTGCAGACGAGGAACAAAAGTGAATAGAAGAGAGTCCATCTCGCAGGACTCCACCACCAAGGAACCCTCGCATAATATGAAGATGAAGACTCCGAGTCCAAAGCTTCTTCTGGATTACTGGGCAGATCACAATCAAATACTTCAGGCTCTAGGCATACTTCGATGGCATCCTCGTTGGCATCAGGTTGTGCGAACGCAAAGCCTTCATGCTGCGGATCTTCTGTTCTTCTGATGTTTTCTGACATGATTGTAGTGAGGACAAAGCTGATGGGAGCACCAGAGCAGCGGCTGCTATTAATAAGCTTTCGAGGTGTGGTTTCGGGACAAGAAGCGGTCAGAGCTGCTGATGAAGCTGTCAGAGCTGCTAGTACACGTAGGTTTAGGAGCTCAGTGGATGTTTCGACGTCATCGTACTCAAAGTGTTTACCGCGAATTCGGCAAATAAGGTTTTGGTGATTAATGGCTAGAATTGGCGGGAGATCTGCCTTTTATTACTATGGAGTACACTTTTATGTACATAGAAAGGATTTATTGGCGGCTGTCACAAAAAATGTCTAGAAACTCCACCTGGCCAAAACCAGTGCAACATGACATTGTATGTAAACACGAGGTGACAGTTCCCGCTTCCATGTGTCTCGATTGATCGACCACCAACCCATGCCCACCACCCCCGACGCCACTCTTCTCATCCTTTCTACAGGGCAACAGTCAACAGCCACAACAGCAGCAACAACAACAGAGACACTATCAAGAGCAAGAAGTCTTCTTGTTTTGTTGCTGTAGGAGATAGCAAAAGTGTTTCAGATACCCCAAGCAGGATACCCCAGAGAGTTTCCAAGAGTCGCCAACCTCTGAGTTCCATCTCGTTCATCTATCCTTATTGTCCAGCTAGCTACTTAGCCACACACAGTAGACCACAATCACCATGCCTCGAGAACGAGAGACACGGCGGACAACCACACGCATGAGTGCGAAACCGCCAGTCAGGACAGGCCGACTGAGTCGAGATTCGGTGGATGCCGACAAGTCGTCTCGCAATACGGTACCCGTAAGTCGCCCCAGCATCCGTGGTGGTGGAAAGCCTCCTGTCAATAGGTCGAAGGGAACCAGTGCCAGTGACAAGATGTTTGGTGCCGAAAGGAAGAAGGCTAGAGATAAGATCAAGAAGAAGCAGAGAGAAGAGGGAAACAAAGAGAATGGAAGGTCTATGAAGGACACGGTCCACGGGGCTGCCAAAGAGGTGAGTTGAGTTGATGTCTTGAGATCTAGCTAGCTCCGTGGGAACATTCGGAACTTGCTGCTTGACTTGGCGTTCGTGTCTCATTTTTTGCGCTTTGGCTGAATGTACCGTACCAGGCCAAGACCAAGGGAAACACTGCCTTTAAAGATGCCAATTGGGACGATGCCATTAAGCATTATACCCGAGCATTAAAGGTGGACAGCAGAGACCATGTCTGTCTTGCCAATCGATCCGCTGCCTACTTGAAAAAGGGTCAAAACGAAAAAGCCCTCGAAGATGCCGATCGTTGTATCAAACTGAAACCAGCGTATTCCAAGGGACACATTCGAAAAGCAGGGGCGTACCATGCCATGCGCAAGTTCACTGCCGAAGTCAAAGCCTATCAATCCGGACTAGATGCCTGCCCCGATGACAAAATGCTCACGCAAGGGCTGGACCAAGCCAAGCGCAGTCGAGCTGCCAACAGTCGTGCATCACACGCCGCCCGGAAAACGGAAGCTACCATGCAAGCCGCCGCGTCGGTTCGGAAAAAGGCTCGACGATCGGATACCGTCAGTCAGTTTGTCAAGGAGACCAAGAAGAACCTAGAGCTGCAAATGGCGGCTATTGAAGCTCAGCTGGACATGGTTAGGGAGCTGGAGAAAATGAAGAGTGAAGAAAAGCTGGATCTTCTCTTTTCTCTTGTTGACAAAGATAAGGATGGATACATTGATGCCAAAGAGCTGGCCAGGGGGCTCCGAAAGAGGAATGTGGGGCTCTCGTTTGCGGATGCCATTGAAAAGGCCATTGAGCTTGTAGCCATGTACGATGAGGATGGTGATGCCGTCCTGGATCGCAATGAATTTGAGTACTTTGTGGACAAAATGGTGGTGGAGCTAGACGCCTCGGTGGATGAGTTCTCCGAGTTCCTAACGTATCAAATGCTCTTTTCGGAAGCGGGAGGCGACGACAGCGAGATAGACGCCGATGACCTCAAAGACGAAGTTAAAGAGCGAGGCCAGCTACTCAATGCACTGCACGATCCTCGCATGGACTCTCTCTTTGTGCTCTTTGACCGGAATGGTGATGGGACCGTCAGCTTTAAGGAGGTTGCCTGTGGGCTGTACCACCTGACCAAGGATATGGAAGAGTCCGCCAAGGCCACTACAGGCCTTTTGCTCATGATGGATGTGGATGACAAACGTGTGCTGGTCTTTGAACAATTTGCAAAGCTGATATTGGCAATAGCGGCAGCGGCAGGGACGTCGTTTGAGGAAGTCGCCAACGACCTGACTTTAGCTTTGACATCTCCCGATTCCAAAAAGTTTGACAAAGAAACAATGAGGGCACTGACGCTGGCGGAACGAGACTACAAAAAGGCAAGAGATCGAGCCGAAGCGGAAAAGGCCCAGGCGAGGATCATGGATGCACTGTCGTACGGGAGAACACTTCGACTGTTTGATTTATGGGACGCAAACGGCGATGGCTACATCAACTTTGAAGAGTTATTTGCGGGCTTGCAACGATATCAGGCGGCAGCGGCGAGAGAGAACAATGTAGTGATAGATGCAGAGCAGGTGGCCATGCAGCTGATGGCGTTGGATACAGACGGGGACCATTCACTGGATCGGGAAGAGTTTGCAACGGCGATGGTTACCTATGCAGACGCGATGCGGACCGATCTACATCAGGTAGGTGCTTGCTTGTGGTGTGTGTGTGTATGTATGTACGTATTTATGGAAACCTGCGCTAGCTAGCTAGCAAGCCACAACTCACTATTCTCATGCCTTGTTGTCGGATTGTCCTTGTGTCGCCATCTCGCAGTTGATCGATTTCATGTGCGTGGTAACTGCACTGGAGAAGGTGATATAGCAGTTGCTGTTCGTGCTTCTACTTGCAATGCGTGATCAAATACATACGCACCCAATCTGCATCACCGGTTGGGGTGGTGTTGTCGCCCGTGGCTTCTGGCTATTTGCTTTGCTGGTTGCGACCGATCGATGACCAATCAACAGAAATCCACAGCATTGACACATTGCAGAGCTTCGCCAACAATCACCTGCTTACAGCGTAGGCTCACGCGAGACAATGCTGCCGCAAATCGGGGACGAAGAGTTTGTCTCGCGAAAACGATGGATTTGACTCAATTTTTGTGTGTGTTGGAGAAGGGCATGTACCTGGAAGCTTATCTTTCCCTACAGGGTAGTAGAGACATCGCTTTTTCTTGAGGCTACGGGAGATTTTATGTTATTGTAATACAGTTCAAGGTGGAAACGACAAGTGCCTCGGACCTCTCTGTGTCCAGCCCAGTGGCACTGTCAATCAACATACTATGTTCTCCACCAATAGAACTCAACCTTGTTGAAACAGTTGTTGATATGTTATAGTAAATCGAGTTTGGCTGTGAATTGTGTTTTGTTGTGGCCGCACTTACTTTTTTGTAGAAGTATCGTAGTGGTGACGTGCCAGTCTCGCAGCCCGCTTACTTTGACATACTGAAAGCGAGCTAGCTCTGCAATCACTGCGAGGTTAGTCAAACAATCTATGTCTATGGAACCCTTCGTGCGCTGTTAATTAACTCACACTACTGTGGCGTTGTTTGTTTGCTTGATCGATTTCATGTGTGTGTGTTGCCACACTGGAAAATGTGATACAGCAGGAGTTGCTCTGTGCTTCCACATGCAATGCATGATCAAACAAATATGCACCCAATCTGCATCATCGGTTGGGAAGGAGTTGCTGCCTGCGGGCGGCTATTTGCTTTGCTGGTTGCAAGGATCGATGCCCAATCCACGGAAATTTACTGCAGTTGCAAAGCTTCGCCGACAATCACTTGCTTGCAGTGTAGCTAGGTCCACGCGAGACAATGCTGCTGCATGGACAAAGATTTCGGTTGTTCCATTTGTTGTGTCTGTACAGGTGCATGTTCACAATGCAGGCGATGCCAAGTCGGACAAGCAATATGCACAATACCAGGGGCATTTACGCATTGTCAGTTCAGTTTTGTGATGGTAGCCTTTGTTGGTTTCCACTGCATCCAGCAACCTTCCGAGGTGCTCAAGGTAACCGCAAGGGTAATCAAAACTATCTCTATGGAACCCTTTTGCTCTATTAATGAATTTTCAATACCGTACTGCGGCGCTTGCTTTGTACATGAAGTATGTGGCCACATCTATTTGTATGCATCATCTTGCAGCATATTATTCTGTGGATGCTGGTATATGGGGCGGTGACATTTCCAGTGTAGCCTCGCTCAGATCTGGTGACATGATATCTTCCCGTGCCGTCAATCCCGATGCATCCTGAGCATCTTCCTGATCCTTGGCGGTTGGAATGCTCTCCTCATCCACTACTACTGCTTCTTCTTCTTGCTGTTGATCATCATCCGTTGACATGACTCTTGGAAAGGTGACATACAGTGCCAACTGAACGAATCCCAACAATGCCCCCAATCCATTGGGTACAAAAATGAGAAAATCCATAATGGCAAATCCGTAGGCAGCCCAGAAACATCCATTGGCCGTATTGGTAACCATGGTGAGGAAATGAATGCTGGCCGTGTTGCGGGTGCGAAGGACTGTGGCAATGGTGGAAAGGGGAGCTCCGTAAAAGAACAACAAATTCAAGTTGGATGCGCCTCCGACAATCCATTGTTTGGTTTCCAAACTCAATGCGAGACCAAATCCCACCAACGCAATGATGGAGGCCCAAATCAGCACCACTGCCATGACGCAGTAATCATACGATGGAGCTGCGTGTGTTTGTTGTGGTTGTTGCTGTGATGTCTGTCGTTTGTTGTTGTCATGCTGTTGTTGTGGCAGTGCAGTGAATTGTTGCGTATATAGAAGCTTGGTCGCTGCCAGATTGAACCAAACGGCAAACAAGAATCCAATCATATTGGGAAAGAATACAAAGAGATTCTATAAATAAATGTAAAAAGTAGAAAACAAGAGAAAGCAGTCAGTGTCAGGGCCAGCCACAGTCCAAGTAAGTAACAAGGCATACTAGTTGTACATTTCATACGTACATTGATGAGGATTGAGTAAAAGACCCAACCACAGCAGTTTCCCAGAGTGAACGCCCATGGAAGCGGATTCAAATCTCCCAGTGATCCTCTTGCGAGAGCTTTTTGGACATCTTGAAAGGGAGCATAGAACATGTACACGCCCACAATGGTGCCCAGCGACGGGCACACATACTCCAGAATGATGCTCTTGGCGTCCGTCATTGTGATATTTGTAATAGAAATAGAAACAAATACTTGAATGGGAGGAGTTTGGCTGCCGTCAGCTTTTCTATCTTTCTCACAGCTAATAATAGCGAACTAACGAAGTCGATAATGAAGAGTTGACCAGTAGCAAGAATTCAAAAGACGAGAGATGATGAGAGCCATCACTTGCTTGCTATTCTTCATCTCAGCTCTGCATGATGGAGATTCATTCATTCGGTTCGTTTTGACCATCAGGACGTTCGATCCAAATCTTTTGTCGACGTCGCTGCTTTCTGTGCATCTGTTCGCTTCTCGCGTGAATGAAGCAAAGCGTGGGGAGCCAGCGTGGATTTGCCAAACCAGGCAAGGTCTCCTGTACGGTACATGTATGTTCGACTGCTGCATGTACGTTTGAGGGCTCCCAGTGCTGGGGTGCCATGTGCTGCATGCCCCCCCAAAGAAGCAAGGAAACCACTCTCGTGGCCTGTCACAACCTGGGAAGATGCAGTGCCCGAAATATTGAATAAGGAAGCCGTCAACTTCAAGACAAACTTGCTCTTCTTCCGGTGTGGGTTTGTTGGTGGTGGTTTGGGAGAGCGTCGTCAAGAGATGCTTGCGAATCGAATGTTCCATTAGCTCGAAGATGGAGGATTGCAAAATGGCATACATGTACCTGTACCGGTTCGAACCAAAATCAGCAGACGAAATAGTTTCCTGCGTTTGCTTGTCTTCTTCTTGACACAGTTGGTTTTCAAGTTGGAGATGTACAGTACCTGTGTCCGGCAGTGAGTGCAGCAATGGCAAAAGCTCAGTACAAACACTGAAGCCAAACATAGCAAGACTGGCCCTTCTGAAGGATTTCAATTCGGAGACAGTTGACAAGTACAAACACTGCCTGGCTGCTGGTACCAGTATCAGTGAAGATGGAAGAGTTTTTGCATGGTTCGGTTAGATCCAAAGTAGTGCCGTGCAAGGCGCTTGAGAGCTTGAGCGGCTGCAAGAACGTGCCATACGGGGAGCGAAAAAATAATCAAGCCTACCATCAAGACATCCGGTGAGGCTCCCTTGGCGAAATGTCACCACTGCAACACTCCCGCGGCCAAGAAAACGCGTTCCAGAAGTGCCCATGCGAATGCCAGGGAATAGCGGTGAGGGAAGATGAACAAGAGTCCCCGTAATGAAGTTTTGTGTTCTATTGATCCAATGCAGTATTGAACGCCGGGAAGAAGAACACGAACAGACATACATGCTCTGCCCAGAAGCAGTCAAAGAAGTTGATCTGTGAAAACGTCTATGCGGGGGCGCACGGTAGCTCGACAAAGAATGGGATTGACACAATTTGGATGAAAAACTTGTCAACTTTTATCAAACGTTAGCCCATGCTGTTTCAAACTCCCCGTGGCCCTACTTCTAAAGCCTCATCGTGCCGGTATTGGTACGACATGCCTCTCTGCAACAATTTTCAACAAGGCGAAAGTGCCATGTCGGCAAAGTAGCCAAGACTTTGCAGTTTGTCCCTGTCCAATAGTTCCAGCTTCAGCTCGGCCAGTCCCCCATTTTCTTGCCCCTCCTCTACTAGAGGTTGATTGACACGACAGCGCCCGCAACATAGAAAGCCCCCTTTGTCCATGCGAACAAATAAAACACTGGTAGCAAGCTTTCCTCCCGACAGTTTTTGCCCCAACTGAGAAGTCCCATCTTGCCACTCGTTATAGCGCAAGAACCAGGTCAGGAACTTGCCCTGCTCCAGCCATTGATTGGGATAACGTTGGCCACGACGACGAGGAGCATCTCCCGGTCTTAGTGGTGAATTGACAAACAGTACCACGCAGTCGTCGAATTCGACGTATCCTGAGCGTTGGTGGTACTCTAACTTTGCCCCTCTGGGAAAAGCTGGGTTGTTTTCGGACAGCATCGCCGCGAGACATTTGTCTTTGGACCCACCCATCAGACGGCCTGCCAAACTATGTGCTACGGTAGCGTTCTGTACGGCCAAGCTGATGGCAGGGACGCGATAGGTTCCGTCCAAATCCACGTAGGGTCCATTGCCTGTCTCTGGAGCGCTAGGCAAGGCGGGTTCATCTCTCCCGGTAACCCATGACTGCGAAACGATCCACTGATTGGAGACGATTTTCTTGGCATTGAGTTTCCGAACGGCCGCTGGGTTGTCGTTCTCCAGAAACACAAATCGAACCGAGGACACAGTCCGGGCAAATGCACTGTCACCCGAGTGCCGACCAAGCTGGAACTTTCCAAGCCATGAAACCTCTGCCAGCGCCAGTGATTTTTCCAGGAGCACAGGAGTCACAGCGGCATCCATAGCGGCATAACATTGTTGGGATTCTGTCAGCGGTCGAATCGACCAGTCTGATATCTGCTCTTGCTTGTTTATTGGTTTCCCAAGAAGACATTCCGTCAATCGGGAAAGCGAATTCGTGTGCTGCCGAGCCTTTGCTACCTTGCCAAGTTGCAGAGCTACCTTGGCAACCGATCCTACTTCCAGGACGGCATGAAAGGTCTGAAACGCCGGGATATGTGGGTAGCTCCCTGCCAGTTGCTGCAAATCGTTTGAGACCTGAAAGCCAACCTTGAGGAATCCAGAGGACCCAAACAGCTGGGTCAGCGCATCTGATGTGACTTGCTCCAATTCGTTTGCAGTCTCGGAGGGCTTTAGACATGGCCGCAACAGGGCTTGTAAATCAAAGAGATATACTTTCTGGAGGTCGTGTAAACTGATCTGGAGCAACAGGACCGGTTGATGCTCCGCTGGAGACGTCAACATGAAGTTTGGCTTCCATTCACAGTCGATCCCAGTCATGATTGGTGAATTGTCGCCATTGGTTCTGATGGAAGAAAGGTGCTCGAGATTCTGCTGAAAGTCCATGACAGACTCTTTGCTGTCGACCAATTGAACGGGAGAATCGCCATTGATCTTTGTGAGAACATCCAAAAGTTGCAGACAGTCCTCTGGGTTTGGTGGAACAGCCGAAGATTGTTGGCCATTTGCCTTTTGCCTTTGGTCCAATAATGGTAGTTGCTGTTGTATACTGCGAGAGCCTCCTCGACGACGCAAAAACTCTTTCGGTGGAGCCTCTTCCAACACTCTATAGTCAAAGACGACAATATCCAGTGATCTCTTGTCCTTCCAATGCTGCAGTGATTCTCGATTTCCCACATTGGTCTTTCCTTCCACTAGTATCAGCTGTCCCACCCGCAAGGACCGGAGGGCTTCGGCACCGTCACCTCGATTCTTACAAAACGTCTTGCCAGCAATCAATTGTGCCGCCATGTCCTCTTGGTCAATGGCGGACTTCCAGGGCAAGTCTAAAGTGTCCAATTTGGTCCCCGTACCCACATAGTCTGGTGGTGCCATGTCGCAAAAGACAAGTCGCCGTGCCATGCGTCGAATGCCATTGATGCGACCCACAAATGTAAAGGGAATCGGCTGGAGTGGATTCGGTCGATCCGGATTGGACAAGACGTCTTCTACTTGCTCCAGGGTAGGCGGGGGTAGTGGAAAGAATGGCTTTACGACAGGGGAGATTGGAAATCTGACTGGTGGAGTGGATGGTTGCTGTAGAATAGTCTCATCTTCCTCGTCATCTGTTGTACTGGTTTCAGGTGGAGATGATAGGTTGGTAGTACTGGCCAGTTCAGTGCCTTCCAATTTGAGGAGAATCTCAGCGGCTACCAAGAGACCAATTTTGGGACAACCTCCTCCACCAAGGAGTATGGTGTCCGGATTGTGATGCAATGATGCATCCACAATGATGCGGATTGTATGAGGGACATGTCCCAGTGGTGGTACCGACTGAGGAGGAAAGCCACATTCTGCCTCCACCTGTTCGGCTGGAACCAAGGAACACGAAACTCGTTGATTGGGTATTCTTTCATCGTGATTATCTTGCTCCAAATAAGCCTCCAACTTTGGGATATTGACTTTGGTAGACGACGGGACAATCGCCACAATGGTCAATGGATCGTCGGGATCTACGCCGGTAGCTTGAAAGAGCAGGGAATTGATGGGTAGAACACCCGAATGGTTGACTTCTCGGTCACTGTGCCAAATCAATGACACCTTGTTGTCTTCCAGCTCTGTCAATGATTCGACAATGCGTTGCAAACGATCAAAGGTTGCTCTCCTTTGGCGGTTCTGTTGTGCGTCATCGCCTCCAAAATCTAGTTGGGAAGAGACAATCGGTGTGCCCTTGTTGTAATCAGCATCCACCATTTCCGTCATCTTCAGCCCAGAAAAAGATCCGAGAGTCCTTGCTATTGGCAACAGCGCATTCACAGTCTCCGCTAGCAGCAGCAGCAGCACACCAAACAGAGATGATACCCATGCACGCATGATAGATGAGTGCCCAGTCTGAGGTAAAGCAATGCTTCAACAGGCGAGGGAAAACTGAAAAACTGGTTTTCTGCCTGACTCAGTCCAGCTTCCGCTGGCTTCAACTGAAGTTGTTCCTCTGGGATCAATTGACTACTGTACTAATACGCTGTAGTACAGTACGGTACATGTAAGTATTGAATGATCTATTTTCCTAATGGTGTAACTTGACTTTGGACTTAAAGAAAAATTGAAGTATCAAATCCTGTATGCTTGGACAGGAGCCTGTGCGTATGAACAGGCCGGGCTGTCTATTTCCTGTGCAATTGAACAGGATTTGTGCGCCTGTATATGTACAGGATCTCGCCTGTTCAATTGCACAGGCATGGGACGTTTTTTGAATTCAAGCCAAAAGATGGCTGGCCATGCTCTCTATCAGCGGGCATCCTCCCTGTGTAGATGAACAGGTCCTGTCTACCCCTTGTCCCTGCAGTACCGGCCGTACAATCTGGCCAAGACGGATGACGGACAGACCAGAGTCCCCAATCTGATTCATCCAGCCAGTGCTCTTCCACGAGGACCATCAACCTTGAGTGGCAGAGCCCATTGTTTGTTTGTCTTGATCCACCTGTCTTCTATTGGTGTATCAAGACTGCTCTTTGGTTGCTTCCATCAGTGTAATCGTCTTGATAATAGACACCATATTAGTAGCTGTCTACCATCTTCAGCAATCCCACTGGCGTCGCTGTGTTTCTTCTCCTCGGCCCTTTTTCTTTTTCTCTCCCATCAATCCAGCCAGCAAAGAAGTACATCCCGTCATTGGGATCTGTCCAACTGCACCCAAATGCCACACTCCCGTTAACTCCATTCGATGCCATTGATCTGTGGAATTCTTCCCTTGGAGTGGCACCGACCGGTCCACTACTTCCAATCCCGACCGATTCTTGGGTAAAGTGATGAATGGGTAATGGTTTCTGCCACCTGGAACTATGCTACGCTGTTGCCGTACTGTACAGGTACATGGTACCGGACGTAGGTACCTGGTACCGTACGGTACCGGTACCGGTACCGGAGTTGTACCACATTCCGGTACCAGTCCGGGAAAACAAAAGATACCGTAAACACGTTTGACTTTTTGCAAAAGATGCTGGTGCATTCACAGCGGACCCACAAAACACCAAATGATGAAGGTATTCTTTTGCCTTTGCGTTCTGATTGTGCTTTGCCAAGGAGGATCTGACGACGGCTTGTGTAGCAGCATGACATCTGAAATCACACCTTCAGGCATTTCGCCTAGTCCCTATAAGACCTATTCATTGCAGGCAATTCATTCTGCTCGCCTTTCTGTTTTGGCAGGCCGCCACCATCAGAACACGTTTGAAGTTGCGCCTTCTCACAGGCAGTTAGCGGACCGAAAAGGCGTCCAATTCAATGTCGAGACTGTACCTGACCCTCTTCCAGAGCACTTGAACAAGAAAAGGATTGGTCGTCATGAAGAACTGGACAAGATTCGCCAGCAAATTGCGGCAGCGTGTGTCCGTGATGGCTTTGGAAAGCCCAAGGACGGCGTCAAAGTCGAGGCAACGTCAAAACACGACCCAAATCTTATTTACAAGGGAGGAAATGGTTTCATTGTGGCTGTTGTAACATCATTCGCCCAACATTTGCCTCTCGAACTTGCACCTGATCATATTTGGGCACTAATCACGTATGCCTTTGCTAAACATGTTGGCGAGCACCCAGAGGAATTGAGAGATAACTTTGTCAGTCATAAAGGGAAGAAACGAATTCTGATTACAACATCAGACAGCTTTCAAATGAGCCAAGACAATAGTCCCGATACCGGTGCAACACCAGAAGAATGGGAGGAGCAAGTATTTGCTCAATTTTCGGCTGAAATTCGAAAACATATTGGAGAGAAAACACATGATGTCTTGGTGCCAAACTTCAGTTCCACGGCGCCTTCATCTAAGGCTGCATCCGAGGTGGTACTAATGGCAGCTATGAAACACTATTTCAGCTTTGGTATGGAAACAGCGTGCGGAATTCCAAACATTGCGTTGGTCGGCACCGAGCAAGACTGGATTGCTTTGCGTCAACGTGTTGAAACACTAGGCAACTTAATGATGCCTGATTTTGAGCAGTATTGGATGCCAGCTCTTTTACCTGTCCTTGACAAGTTTGTCGACAGCTATCAAGGGCGGGTGGATCATGGTTTTTGGCAGTCCATGGTCAAGTTGAGACACAATGGTGCCGGCTCCGGCTACAGAGAGTTTATCAGTGGTTGGATTCAAATCTTCTTTCCCCATCTAGGATACAGCAGACGTAGCAAAGCAAAGCAGACAATGCGTCAATGGAATGAATTCTATTTTAGTGGTCCGAAGCCGGACGAGTTTCCTTCTGTCGAGTCATTTGCTCCCTGTGATTGGAACTACCATGGTTCCCTTTTTGACCTTGAGTTCCATGCCGGTATTGCTGGGGTTTCCCAAGACCCCGATAGCGGGCGTCTTGCTCCTGTTACCGGATGGTATGTCGTACACACTCCACCAAAAGGCAAGGCACGACGAATGGAGGACATCTTCAAAGAGATACAAGACCTGGAGCGCGGTCATAAGGAAGACATGAAGCTCGGATATGAACATTACAAGGACCAACCTTGGAATGCCCGTGTCCGGGCTCTTTGGAAGGAAATGAGCGCTCTCGAGATGGCAATGATGGGAGTTGATGAGTAAACAATTTGTTTTTGTTGGATGGATACAAGGAGGAGCGTACGTTTAAAACCATGCCCCACACCAAAATTATGCATGTTCGTCTGCTTGTGTGCAACGTGGATCGAGCATGCTTGTTCCCGGAGAAGACCGGTAGTTGCGCTGTTTGAAACGCAGATGTTGACGGTAGTAACTTATTATTCGAGAGCCAATTTGTTTGTGTCATTGCTTGTTAGTGAAAACAAGAGGTCCCTCTGGGCGCGCCAACCCACAGTTGTACCGGTACCGTACCGGTACCAGTCGTTCGATTGGGCCCACCAAGTCCTCGTTGACCAAGGAAAACCACACAAGTCCTCGTCGACCGACTTGTGCATGCAGGAAAACGGGTGCTGACACAGGAATCACCACCAAAACACTGGGAAATGACAAGGAGGGAGGAATCCAGTAGTAGGAACCACTCTCTTGTGTGTTGTCGTGTAGCCTCCTCCTCCGGTTGACGACTATTGCCATTCGATGACGCCAATCGCTCGCTGTCATTGTCGACCGCTCGAAGCCGCCATAGTGGAGTGTTTCGCATTCTGGAGAGGGCATAGCTTTCGCTTCTTGCTTTCGATTGGTCACCTCCTCCTCATTGCCTCTGAAGAAGGCTCCACCATGACAGGCTCCTCTTGTGGCGGCCGTTCGACGGATCGATGCTTCGAGCGACGGATCGACGACTGCTTCCAGGGAGCCTCTTTCATGGATGTGGATCAGTGAACCAGCCGCATGTGTCTCAGAATGAACCGAGTGGAGGAAAGAATACTAGTCGCGATCGATCCACCGGGCCATTGTGGATTCAATCTTCTTGTTGTGTTTGTTGTTGGTGCGGTGGAGTGACGAGTGACAGTCGAGTGACTTGACTGAGTCATTCAGCCTTCGGGAGTCGAAAAAGGAAGCAAAACATGAAAAAAGTCTTGTTGGGGACCACCAAAACAAACCTAAAATATATAATTTTGACTATTTTTACCAGGAAACTTGAAATCAATACTCGAAATCGAAACTCGAATTTCATTATTATGGGACACTGTACTAGCAATGACGCCACGGAAAGATGGCTCCTTGCACCATAGGCTCGTTTTCACACCCGGCCTTACTGCCAACGTTGCATGCTGCGCTTGTGGAGGTGGAATTCGTGGCGCTTAGAGCACCAACGTCAGAACAAGACCTTTCTGGTTGGCTGGCCTTCAACAGAGCTCAAGACACCAGAGAACAAAGTCACCGCACAAAAGAAGATCTGGAACTTCACAGATTTGAGAGTTTGTAATTTGACTCAGAGTTTGCGTTCGATTGATTACATGTAGTAACATGGATTGGAGTGTGCATATTGTCCGCAATCACCAACATCACTCCTTTTTCATATTTATTTAACACCGTCGATTTTTTTAAAAGTATAGAGGTGTAGCCGTATGCTGGTGATTGCAGTTTCGACTGATCCCCCACTAATCATAACATTAGTTCCAAACGCTAAATAAAACCTTTCAAACAAAAAAGGCAGAAATGGCCAACAATGTGGCAGCCACAAAGCTTCCAAAGACTTGGAGGTTGGTGCCACTGCTGCCTGTTGGGCTGCTGAGAACCTCAGTGTTTGAACTGTCAATAACACTGCCACAGGTGATACCAGCTTCATCCATATACTTGTATGTCTCCTCTTGTCGTGGGTACAAGTTAATCACTCCATTTTCTGGACAACTAGCACTGGAGCAAACAATCATTGGTGCAATCTTCATCTCGGTGTACCAGGATTGCAATTTGGTTTCATTCATAACTGGTGACCACCACCAACTTTTTCACATTCCTCTTTGTATTTTTTGGTGGCTGCATCATCTTCACTCAGGGTGATATCACAGGCTTTGGCTGTGGCTGGGCTGGTAGCAGTATCAAGGCACTCTGCTCCCATTTTCAAGGCAACCATTTCCAGGTAGGCATCTTCGGCCGGCTTCAAATCTGGATTCCAATCGAACAGCTGAGCCTGGGTCCAATTGTAACATTCAGGTTGGGAAGCACTTTCAGAGCTGGGATAATCCTTCATTTCAAGATCGTTTACTCCAGAACCACATGAGTAGTTCTTTAGCTCTCTCAGCTCTTGCTGGGGAATTAGATTGGATACACCATTACTGGAACAGCTAGCACTGGCACAGATCAGCACTGGCTTGACAGAGTAATCCGATGAACTAGCACCATCACCACAGAGTGGATGGTAGGTGTATGTCCAGATTCTACCTCCACCTTTGTAGCACTCTGTTTCGTAGGCTGGTGCTTCTGGGAGATCTGAAGCTATTTCAAGGGAGCAAGGAGTGGGAACACCATCAGCATCAAAGCAGTCAGCTTCAATCGTTGTTATCACGGCAAAGAGGTAGTCATAGTCTGCCGACTGCAGGGCAGGGTCATTGTAAAAATAGATGGGCTTTGTCCAGTTGGCACACTGAGGTTGAGAACCATCATCTTGACCATGGATGAGCTGTGGGGCCAGGAGAAGCAGAGGGAGCGAGGCAAAAAGGAGCTTCATGTTACCACAAATAGATCGGCTGGGTAGGAGAAGATCTGGTTACCGATGCTACAGGTATGGTGTTCAAGGGTAGAGGCTTGTTACTCAGTAATAGTCAATCCAATTGTGGTCTTGGCGTCTTTCCTGTGGGTCCAACTCATTTGCGGCGTCGAAGGCTGCGATGTCGCGGTAAAGAAGATCCATGGTATCTTTGCTCCTGAGGCACGAATGCACGCTGCAATTTGGAATCTTTTAGCACTTTAAACCATGCTCTAATGTATAACCTAGACGCTAATGTTGGCATCAACACTTCACCTATGTCAGTGGTCATCGTACAGTCGTAATGTCTCCAAAGTCTTCGGATCGAGCTCCCTCCTCATCTTTCTTTCATACTCTCGCACAAGAACTTGACGAGGAAGGCCTCCACGCATCAACCCCAGCAAGACGTGAGTTTACGATCCCAAGAAGCACCCAAATCCTTGACCACAAGAGCTAGGCACTATAGACTCGAGAGGCCCATTTTCCATACTCACTTGACAGTCTGTCTCGACATTCATTATCTGTGGCAAAACCATTCGAAGCTACATCGAAACCAAGAGGAAACATGTCGAAACTGAAGGAATTGAGTTCCCAAGAGCGAGAAGCTCTCGCAGAAAAGGTGAGTAGAAAACCCTTCCGAATGGTCAGTGTCCCAATTTCCTAGTATACCCCTCGTCTAACGTCCAGCTACCGCATTCTTTCACTCGTCTACTACTACTAGAACAAAGACAAGGGTAACGTTGCCTTTAAAGCTGGAAAATGGGACGAGGCCATTCGCTATTATTCCCGTGCCATCAAGGTGGACGACAAGGATTATCTCTGTTTGGCCAACCGTTCTGCCGCCCACATGCGCCGTGGAACCTACGACGAAGCCCTCAAGGATGCCGAACGAGCCATCAAGATTAAACCCAAATATGCCAAGGGTCACGTCCGGAAAGCGGCAGCCTTGCACGCCATGAAGAAATACGACGAAGAAGTCCAAGCCATCAAGGAGGGGCTCAAGATTTGTCCCGACGATTCCACCTTGAAACAAGGCCTCGAAGCCGCCAAGCGCAACAACAATAGCAAGGCCACCGAAACGGCCGACAAGGCCAAGGAAACTCGCAAAGCCAAGCAGGAGTACCAGTCCTCCAAGGATCGCAAAACCAAAACGGGTGGTGTCAAAAAGGAAAAGGGACCCAAAAATGTCAGTCAGTTTGTCGCAGAAACAAAGAAAATTCTAGAGTTGCAAATGGCGGCCTTGCAAGCGCAGTTGGATATGGTCAATGAATTGACTCGAATGACCATCAAGGAGAAATTGGATCTACTCTTTAGTTTGATGGATAAGGACGGTGATGGGACCATTGATGCCAAGGAACTGGCCGATGGGTTGCGCAAACAGAATGATGGCCTCTCTTTTTCGGGGTCCATTGAGAAATCGATCGAGATGATTGCCATTTTCGATGATGATGGAGATGCTGAATTGGACAGAGAAGAGTTTGAGCATTTTGTGGAAAAAATGGTTTTGGAATTAGACTCGAGCTTCGATGAGTTTGCAGAGTTCCTTGTCTACCAAATCTTGTTCAGTGAAAAGAAGAAGGAGGAAGAGGAAGAGGAAGAAGTGGACTTGGAAAAGGTCAACCAATTGGTCAAGGAAAGAGGAGAGCTGTTGGATAGTCTCTCCGATCCCAGAATGATGACCTTGTTTCGATTGTTTGACATTGATGGGGATGGTTCGGTCAGCTTCAAAGAGGTGGCTTGTGGTCTCTACCATTTGACAAAAGACATGGAAGAATCGGCCAAAGCAACAACCGGCCTGTTGCTGATGCTTGACAAGGATGATCAACGTGTTCTAGGTTTCCAACAATTTGCCAAGCTGATTCTTGCAATTGCTGCTACTACTGGAATTACCTTTGATGAGGTTGCGGACGATCTTACGCTGGCATTAACCTCGGAAGACGCAGAACTAGATGCCGCGGTGTTGGAACGATTGACGCTGGCGGATGAAGAATACGCGCAAGCCAGGGACCAAGAACGAAAATTGAATCAGCACAGAGAAGAAGTATTGAGCATGGATCCACTGTCGTACAATCGTTCCGTGCGTCTGTTCGATTTATGGGATGTCAATGGCGATGGAGAAATAGACTTTGATGAGTTGTTTGAGGGTCTCTGCAAGTACCATGCCGCTGCCAAGGACAACCGCGACGAACGTGAAATCGAGCTAATTGCACAAAAGCTGATGGAACATCAAGACGTCGACGGTAACAATGTACTGGATCGAGACGAGTTTGCATGTGCCATGGTGAAATACGCGGGGTTTGTCAAGGCCGATCTGCACGAGGTAAGGCGACGATGGCTCATCACGTGTGCGGGCTCCAGTACTTACGCTAACATTGTTATGCATTTGCTTCCAATGGCAATGTCAAAAAAGTTGATCGATTATATGTGCGTGGTCACAAGCCTGGGCGAACAGGTTGCCAATAAGCGATACAACGACTAGCAGGCGGCACCTATATTTTACAATAAAAGTGTCACGGAGGTACGAGTCTCCATGGGTGGAATTTGTTGGAGAGTTTGGTATGGGTTTGCTGCCGCAGGAGATGCTGAGAAATTGAATTGGTTTTGGGCAACTCTCCCGATGTAATTTATTTGTAGGGTGGCCCGACGAGAGGAGGTTTTTGGGTCTTGGGCGTTTGCAACGAGATTATACGACAATCAGTTTCCGTGCCTTTGCAGTTTGAGGTGCCGACGTGTTTTGCGTCGTTGTCCGTGGTCGATAAAAGTGGGGACTGCCAACGTTCTGGGGTGGGATCGCGATGTCTTGCTGGCTGGCATCCGAGACACCCATGACATCTGGGCTCTTTTGGCTCGTTTCACTTGGGCGTTCAAGCGAATTTGGAGCGCCCCTGTTCTTGTACGAAGCCAGGCAGTCGGCATTCTGGCTTTTGTGATGTTTGTTAAACTTTGATGTGACCTACAATGTACATACATGTTTTAAACCTTGCACGAAGTGGTTGTCCCTGCGCTTTTGAATTTGCTCTACTTTTTTAAGTTCAATGCCACACAGTTCAATGCGGCAAGACGACGTGGGACGTCCTTGCTGCTGAACTTGGAACCGTGGGTTGAAGCTATAGGTTTGGCAGCAACAGGCAGATGCTTTGCGTGAAGCAAACAAGCAACTTGAGACACCACGGGTCAATACATGGCTGTATGGAAGATGGAGACATCGGACGATCCTTTGTCTGTTCCATCACCATTACCAACGCCACGGCCTGAAACCTGAAGCTCGTCCCCCCCCCCCTAGCTAGCTAGAACAGTCTTCCCTGGTGTGGTGTAACTGGCCTGTTCCGGCACCGTCGAAGCCTCTTTCCCAGTTCGACATGACAAAGGCACTTCCGGCGGGTTTGAGCTGTTTGAGCTGTTTGAGCGTTTGTGCTATGTTTTCACACCGTGTCTCTTTCGAAGGAACGAAAAGACTTAAGAGGGAGTCACAGTAATAATTCCCAGGACCATTTTTGCGATTACTTCCGCGATCTCAATTCTTCTTCCGTTCCCGCCTCTTCTTCTTCCGTTGGAGGCAATAACCAGTTTGCTTTCCATTGTTTACGACCATTGCCCAGCCTCCCATCGGCAACAGACACCAAGTTATCCTCATCCGGATACAGAGAAGAACATAACGTAGTAGCATTCAAGTGCAGGCAAGAGAGGAAAGAATGTCAAAATCCAAAGAAGTAGGTATTAAACTGGCTAGCGTTTATCGATTCTCTGCAATGCGTTCTCACCGATACCCCTTGCCTTTTAGTCGCGCAATAAAGGAAACTCTGCGTTCAAAGCAGGCAAATGGCAGGAGGCCATCAAATACTATACCCGAGCCATTAACCTCGATGGGAAGGACTTTTTATGCATGGCCAATAGATCGGCTGCTCACCTGAGGTTGGGGAATCACGATGAAGCGTTGCGAGATGCCGAGCGCTGTATCAAGATCAAGGCAAGCTATGCGAAAGGACATGTGCGAAAGGCTGCCGCCTTCCATGCCATGAAGCGATATGATGACGAATTCAAGGCCATCCGAGAAGGAATCAGGTTTTGTCCCCATGACGAAACTTTGAAGCAGGGATTGGAACAAACCAAGGCACAGCGGACAAAATCCAGCAAGGCTTCCCAAGCAGCAAGACGAACACAGGCTACCATGAAGGCGGCTCGTTCCAGAGGAAAGAAGGTCAAGAAATCCCAAACTGTGAGCCAATTTGTCATGGAAACCAAGAAAATTTTGGAACTTCAAATGGCGGCCATCAGGGCACAGCTGGACATGATCAATGAGCTCATGGTGATGGGCATGGAAGAGAAACTGGATCTTCTCTTTAGTCTGATGGATAAGGACGGTGGTGGCACCATTGATGCCAAGGAATTGGCAGAAGGTCTGAGAAAGCAGAATGATGGACTCTCCTTTTCGGGATCCATTGAGAAATCCATTGAAATGATTGCCATCTTTGATGAGGATGGAGACGCGGAACTGGACCGACAAGAGTTTGAATCTTTTGTGTCCAAAATGGTGGAAGAGCTGAGTACTACATTTGATGAATTTGCAGAGTTCCTTGTGTACCAAATTCTGTTCAGTGACAACAAAGAAGAAGAGGAGGAGATTGATATCCACCAAGTCAATCAACTGGTCAAAGAGAGGGGAGAATTGTTGGATAGTCTCAATGATCCCAGAATGAGAACCCTGTATGAACTATTTGATCGCGACGGAGACGGCACTGTGAGCTTTAAGGAAGTGGCTTGTGGCCTGTATCACTTGACAAACAACATGGAGGAATCAGCCAAAGCAACTACTGGTCTGCTTCTCATGCTTGACAAGGATGATCAGCGGATGTTGGGATTTCAACAATTTGCCAAACTGATCTTAGCCATTGCAGCATCCACCGGAATCACATTCGACGAGGTGGCTGATGACCTGACTTTGGCTCTGTCGTCTGGAAGTATCAAAATGAGCAGGGACGTGCTTCGCGAGCTTACCCTGGCCGACGAGGAATATACAAAGGTCCGCAACAAGGAGCGCAAGCAAAAGTCAGTGGCCAATATTGACCCTCTTTCCTACAACCGATGCCTTAAGTTATTCGATCTTTGGGACGCGGATGGTGACGGGACACTTGATTTCGATGAACTCTACCAAGGCCTATGCAAGTATCACAATGCCGCTCGCGATGGAAAGGACACTCGAGAGGTCAGAAGAGCGGCACGGAAACTAATGGCTCAGGACCAGGATGGGGATCAGTTGCTCGATCCAGACGAATTTGCGTGTGCCATGATATCCTACGCCGACTCGATGGGAACCGACGTGCATGGTTTGATCGACTTTGTACGATATTCTATGTGTGTGTCATTTTTTAAATCATTTTCGTTTTTTCTCACGATTTTTTGTGCATTTGCTTACCACAATGACAATGACGACATGAAAGATGTGCGTTGCCACGGCCTTGGGAGATCAGATGGGTTAGTTGCCGGCCAGCTTGAGAATGAACTGTGGTTGTACTTGTTGAGGCGAGAAAAACTGTTGTCTGATCACGCGAGTCAACTTTCCCAGCCAATGTCTATTGTGTCATTGTCGCGATATTGTGGCTTGGTCTGCTCGGTTGTTCCTGGCGAGTCTCAGATAAAGGGACGAAAGTCGACAATCAACGCACTGGAATAAAACTTTTTTGCTGTGATGGCTGGGTTCCTCTCGGAAAAGGCAGGCGTGACCATTTGTCCAGCCCAAGATTTGCTTTTGTTTTTGTGTGTCGATTGGACACGCCTGTGGTACTACCGTAGAGGTACGGGATGCGGTCTTGGATCTTTTGTGACCTCTACCGTAGCTAGGTTTCAGAAGGTCCGCATGCATTTGTTCAGATCAGATCGGTTCATTGCTTCGCAGTTGTGTGCACGTTTTTGGAATGCTCTGGAAAGGCTACGACCCGGGCACCGAGAGCAAAGGATCGTACTGCAAGTATGGGGGTCTAGAGTAGGGTAGTATAGTGAGCAGCTGGTCAGGCCGATCCTTGAATCCCTGAATTACTTGTCCGGTGCCATGAAGGTTTGCCTTGCTTGCAATCCAGGTCGCTGGTGACCCGTAGTGGCCATTCCTGCTTGACAAATAGCTAGCCTTGCTAGATAGCTACTGTAGAACCAACGTCGTTTATCGATTGTTGAAAGATTTTAGAATTGAAGAGAAGTCAAACCCAACCCAGTCAATGCATGTTCATCTACCACCTCCGAAGCCATCCCATTCAATACATGTGTATTTCTAGCTACCTGGTACCTTCTGGTAGCTAGAGGTCTACCACCACCATTCCCTGTACCTTGTACGGCCGGTAGCTTAGTTGGTTTTTCGAAGATTCAAGTCCCGTTCGGAAGTGGATTTATTATTGGTGGCAAACTTCAATTTTTACGAGCAAATGTCACCAAATTGGCACCACGGGACAAAAATGACCTCTAAAATAAAGCAGTGGAGATTTCGACCCGACACCCCCACTCACTCTGTTGGCAGAGACTCCCCACAGCCGCTTCCCAAAGCATCCCGCCTCTGCTGAGTTCTGTAGAGAGTCGAGCAGATAAAGAGACAGCTTCGCAACAGCACGACATTGTGAGAGTAGCCAAGGAAGAAGACGATAGTAGCTGTATACGATGGATGTAAGTGCCTCAACACTTTTGATGTGTTCCGCCCACGGTCGGGAACTTTTTAGTCTCACTCTCAGCTGCTTCTAATCTTCTTTCTTTCTTTAGAACAAAGGAAAAGGAAACGCTGCCTTCAAGGCTGGCTTGATGGACGATGCTGTGAAATACTACACGCGAGCGCTACAAAAGGACCGTCGTGACTTTGTCTGTATGGCCAACCGATCCGCGGCGCATCTCAAGCTCGGCAGTGCCCAGGCGGCTCTGGACGACGCGGAAAAGTGCATACGCATCAAGCCCAAATACGCCAAAGGCCACGCCCGAAAGGGAGCTGCTCTGCACGTCATGAAACGTTACAGTGAAGAAGTACAAGCATACAAAACTGGTCTCGGTTACTGCCCCGACGACAAGACGCTCCTGCAGGGCCTCACTACTTCCAAAAAGTCTCGAACCCACAATTCCAAGGCCAGCCAGGCGGCCCGCAAAACCAAAGCCACGAGACAAGCTGCCAATTCGCGTGGTGCCAAAGCCAAAAAGTCCCAGAATGTGAGCCAATTTGTCATTCAAACCAAAAAGAACCTGGAGTTGCAAATGGCGGCTCTGCAGGCCCAACTGGATATGGTCAATGAACTGGAGAAAATGAGCATTGAAGAAAAGGCGGATTTGCTGTTTAGTCTGATGGACAAGGATGGTGGAGGCACAATTGATGCCAAAGAATTGGCAGAAGCGTTTCGGAAACAGAATGAGGGACTCTCGTTTTCCGGGAGTATTGAGAAATCCATTGAAATGATTGCCATCTATGATGAAGATGGAGATGCTGAATTGGACAGAGATGAGTTTGAGCAGTTCCTCAATCGGATGGTGTCGGATCTACAAACCACCTTTGATGAGTTTTGTGAATTCTTGGTTTATCAGATCCTCTTTGCCGATGACACGGCCGATGGGGAAGATGTCGACATTAACGAGTTGAACCAGGAAGTCAAACAACGAGGTGAACTACTGGATTCTTTGAGCGACCCACGGATGAAAGATCTCTTTGTTCTATTTGACGGTGACGGCAACAACTATGTCAGCTTTAAGGAAGTGGCATGTGGCCTGTATCATTTGACCAACAACATGGAGGAATCTGCCAAAGCAACCACCAATCTATTGCTCATGCTGGACAAGGATGACGCACGAAAGCTGGACTACCCCAAATTTGCCAAACTCATTCTTGCCATTGCAGCCACATCCAATGCTTCCTTTGATGAAGTGGCAGACGACTTGACACTAGCATTGACAACCAACGGGGGCAGAATCGACAGCAAAGCCCTCAAGCTTCTCACAATCGCGGATGAGGCATATGCCATGGCACGAGAAAAGGAAAAGTCGCTGAAGAAGAGCATCAAACACATAGATCCGTTCTCGTACCAACGAGTATTGAAACTGTTTGATTTGTGGGATGCGGATGGGAGCGGCACGCTGGATTTTGATGAATTGTTTGATGGATTACGAAGATACCAAGCCGCATCCAACAATGGTCATAGTCGGGAGAGTGTAGAGAAAGGGGTGAAAATGCTGATGGAGGGAGATGTAGACGGAGACCAACAACTTGACCGCGACGAGTTCGCGGTTTCGATCATGAAGTATGCCGAGGCTGTGGGGACGGATTTGCACGAGCTGATTGACTTTATCTGTGTCATTGCTGGTCTGAGCTAGCACGCAGCAGCGAAGAAAGAGGCCGTTTCCAGTTTCCGCTCTGCCTTGCTCCGTGTTGTTTTTGAACCCAGCCTCCCGACTCGACTCATCCGGATTCTCGGCGCGTTGGGAGTGACAGTCCTGTCGTGTCAATGGTCCTGTATTTCTGCATGGATCTATGCATTGTCGGTTTCGCAAATGACCGATCAGTGCCGCCCTTCCTGTTTTGGCAGCCCCCCCTTGAACACCAAACTGTGTGGCCAGACTCCGAGTACAAAGTACCGTATTGTAGCAGGGGAACGGGCGCAAGCAGGCAGACGAAACTAAATGTACATGTACTTGATCCTTCTAAAGGTAAGGTAGCCCGGACTGGAAAAATACTAGCTTTTATAGGAAGAAACAACAGGAAGCCGCATGAATGAAAATGCCTGTCCAGTGCAGTGCAATACAAGCCAGCTTAAAGACACATGGATTGGACAGTAGGTGCTTTCGCTACTTGGCTACGGTAGTATACTTTTGTCCAATGCACGAAGCGAGGCAGTATGAAAGGTTCCTAAAGGTCGAGCGAAGTGCAAAGCAGCTAGCGTTGGTTTTAACTTGCACAATCGTATAAGCTCGTCGTTCCCTTCTGACCTGATGAGAAGTCCCTACTGCGTATTGCGACAAGAGAGCTCAAGAGAAAAGGCGCTCATGCAAAGACAACAAGACAACGAAGAGCTCAACAAAGTGTGAATGACGAGCGAAGTGCTCTTCTTTTGCGGCGGTAGCCAAGATCGGTTCTGCCGAAATTTTGGATCTGGCTAGCTGGGAGCGTTGGTGGAAATCGTGTCAATTCGAACGGCAGCGTGCAGAGCATAGCTGGCTAGGGTTGTTCTTGTAACCTTGCCTCCAGCTCTAGCCATCTAGCCAAGATCGGCGCCTCACAATTTCGGAATGGCAGCGTTGCTGAGCCCATCACCAGTAGCTTTGCTAGCTAGTTGGGTCCAATAATTCATGGGCAATGCCTCTGGATACGTTGCGACAAAAAACGGTACGATAATGTTCCTATGCCAAGGGAGAAACACGAGAGCAAAAACAAAAGACCAAGTTAGAAACACGAGAGCAAGCAAGAAACACGAGAACTGTAAGCCTAGTAGACTACTGCCGGTACCTGGTACCGTACTGCTCTATTTACAACAGTTCGATTCCCACAGCGCAGCAAAATTACAGGGTCTCAACTCCACTTTCTTCGGGTGTGCAGTGTGCAAGCCGGATTGGAGGAGAAGTCTTACCAAATAAATCCAACGATGACCACAACCATGATTGAATCTTCACAGCCACAATAAGATTGGTGCCATCCAGGAGCCCAAAACTTTCAGGGAGCAAGCCTTTTGAACACTTCCACACACACAAAAATACCACAAAGCGGAACCCAGAAACTCACAAACTGACATCGACCATCAATCAAATTTATTAAGAAGTTACATCCATTCTTCAGCATGACAGCGTTCGAGGCAACCGATCCATTCAACAATGGCACCATGGCCACTGCAACTGAGCCATCCACTCCAGCGCCCGTTCCATATGACCTATACAGTGTGACTCAGTACCCTTGGTGGTGCTTGAACTATTTCATTATCTTTTGGTTCCTTTCTAACCTGGTGCAAACATTGCTTCTACGTGCTCCAAGCAAGAAAATCCGTGACCAATTTGAAAGCTTGGACCAAGATAAGAGAAACAATGCCATCATCTATGTCATGCAGCTTGTTGGTACCTCAATTGCATTTGTAGCCCAGCTCTATGGATCCACGGACATCATCTTCAAATGGCAAGAAACCACTTCCCAATCAAAGTTGAACAGCCTCCAGTTTGCTCTTACACTTGTGGCAATCTTGTATATCTGGGAGCTCATCTTCCGCAAGAAGATTGGGCTGCCTCTTCTGGTTCATCATCTTGTCACCATCCTCCTCATCCAACTGACCGCAGCTTCCTTCTTCGACACACATGATATCAAGTACATTCGATACTCTACCTTGATGGGCTTCCATGCAACCTTTGAGCAGCTGACCTTCCTTGCACTCTTCTTCTTCCGGCTCAACATCTATGAAAACTGGCAGGCCTTTTGGTTCTTCCTCTCAGCTGCTCAGTCTCTATTGTTCAAGACATTTGTCACTCTTGTGGGTGTTGTCTACTTCTGTTCCATGATCCATACAGGCAGGCTCACCACAAGCACCAAGTGGGGAATCTTTTGGACAATCTTCACTCTCCCCCTTCTTGCCTTGCTGTTTTCAGCTCAAGTCTATGCCTGCCTGATCTTGTACAAACTTGGCAAGCGCTGTCAAGTCATGGATAATTTTGATAGCATGGAGAAGTCTGTCACAATGGAGGATGAAGATGCCATGGATGCTGAGTTACCCATGACCAAAGCACTCTTCCGAGAGGAGAGCGAAATGTTTTTGGGTGACTATGAGACGAACCAACAGAGCTTGAGTCCATCATCAAACCACACGCGATCAAGCATCCTCCTAGACTCTTGGCATGGGCCACGATCCCGCAGACAACGATCTATCTGCGTTGGATCAATGGCTACAAGTCGTGAGCTTTGCCTCCCCAGTAACAGCTTTCATCTCGAGCCAACCGCCGAAGAAGACTTGGAGGTAGAATTGGGGCTAGAATCAGAAGTCACTCAAACTGGGCTAGAAGAAGCAGAAGCCACTCTAACGGCATAAGAGGTGTAAACCAGGGCTAGGTCCAATTTAATTGTATTGTATTGTATTGAAAATTGGATTGTATTGTTTTGGTATTGAGAGCCTGTCTTAGATATTGGGTATTGTATTGGTATTGGAGCCCCACCAGCAATACCCCATTGGAGCAGATCTAGACAATACCAATTTGGGTATTGACCCCCCCTGTTCAGGGATAGGGTGCCTTGAAGGCTACAAGGGTACCTTGAAGGCCTATGAACATGCTAGAAAGCAGCAGAATGATGCCAGGTTTGCCCAATGGGCAGCCAAAGCTGATGAAGAGCTCCTATCAGCAGCTGCTGCTTTGAGTGCATTGGCTCTGACCGATGGCGAGTAGGCGCATTAGGTAGTAGCTACATGTAGGTATTGAAACTAGGTATTGTTGGTATTGTAGCTAGAGAACCCAATTTGGTATTGGGATGAATTCTGGAGGTCAATACAATTCTAGTACTTTTTGCCATTTTCACCAATACAATACAATACGAATTGAACCAAGCCCTGGTGTAAACGGCCCGAGTCCAACGACCCTCTATGAAGGCTAGAGTCTCTGGCGGCCTAATGTTGTTGGCTTGTGTTCGTGAGCAGAAGAAAATGCAAAACATATAAGAAGTACGTTGTAAATAAATCATAACCACATTTTAAATCAATTTAGCAACTCATGATGGCTGGGAGGGTTCTGTAGGCTAGCTAGTGCGTATGTTTGGTGAGTTTTGTTGCGAGGATCCTGCTTGGCACCTTGGCAACTACCGCTGGCTACATGTAGACTTCACCAAGGACGCAGGTACGGTGAGGTGAGAGGCATCATGGATTCATCATTCATTCTGAACCTGAGCCGCCGCTCAGCAGCAACCCTGGTCTCCTCCCAGCTATTAATTATCCTCCCAGCTATTAATTATAATTACAGTTTGAATTCTTCTACATGTACCGGTAATAATCAACCAGGAAACCGTTTGTCGGACGTGCCTGCCCAACAACCAATTACATGTACAGCTGTGCCTCTGCAGCGAAAAGAGGGCCTTGGCTCCAATACGGTCGGTATACGCAGTGAACGTGCCGGATGGTTCTAGCTAGAACTACTGGTACAAGACTGTACCAATATCCTTCACTAAATGTTCGTGCTAGCACAAGTTCTTCCAGCCAAGTCCTCAAGACGAACTCAGTCAACATAATATGATCAGGTAATCGGTGGCGATCGTGTTTGTTGTGCTTTGTGATTCTGGTGAGCAACAATAAAGTTAAAGTGCGTTCTTTTATCACTGGCGACACGTCGTCGCCCAGAAGGAATTTCTCGAACTTCGAGAAGCCCGCAAATCGGTCAGTTACTGATACAGCAAAGTTTGATCCTGCTCTGCTCGCTGGATGATTGTTTGGCTCGTGTTGGTGCCTCCTGCCCTCCTTCTCTGCCACCCATCCACCCCACAGTCCCCTCTAACCCACAGTAACGACCTTTCACAGTTTGCAAGGCTCGGTCCCACTTGGTTGCTTTGAGCGGGTGCGATCTACGGTGATCTGGCTGGATAGCTTCTGGATAGCCGCACTGTACTAGTAGTGGTCAGTGGCGAAGAATAGCGAAGCTGGACTGGGACTGATGCCGCGCGTGAAAACATGAAAGGCCAGTACATTCAGGTAGAAAGGGTAAACATGGAACAGCCCTTGCATAATTTAAAAAACATAAGAACAATATGGTTTACGCCATCTACCAACGTCGAAACCTTCTTACTGGGGCTGGCTGGGGACGAAGACCGTAGTGGCAGTAATCCTTTTACACCAAGAATGAAGCCAAAGAGTGCGGATGGGGGGCCGGGCAAGAAGTTGTTGACTACCACCATCCTCACATCAACTCACAAACTGACTGGCAACAAACAAAACGCAAGCAAAAGACACTGACCCAAAAACTTCCTTAATCCAATTGAAAACACTAGCCACTGGCGATCTTGCCCCCCCAACATGACTAATTCAGCGATGCATTCCACAATCAATGAAACAATGGCATTTGAGTCTCAGCAAATACATCAAACACAATCCACTCCATATGATCTTTACAGTATGACTCAGTACCCTTGGTGGTGCTTGAACTATTTCATTATCTTTTGGTTCCTTTCTAACCTGGTACAAACAGTGCTTCTACGTGCTCCAAGCAAGAAAATTCGTGAACAATTTGAAAGCTTGGATCATGACAAGAGGAACAATGCCATCATCTATGTAATGCAGCTTGTTGGCACTACAGTTGCATTGGTAGCCCAGCTCTATGGATCCACAGACATCATCTTCAAATGGCAAGAAACCACTTCGGAATTCAAGTTAGAAAGCCTACAGCTTGCAATCCAGCTTGTGGCAGTTTTATACATCTGGGAGCTCATCTTCCGCAAGAAGATTGGGCTGCCTCTTCTGGTTCATCATCTTGTCACCATCCTTCTCATCCAACTCTCCACAGCCTCCTTCTTTGACACACATGATGTCCTCTATATGCGATTTGCTACCTTGATGGGCTTCCATGCAACTGTGGAACAACTGACCTTCCTTGCACTCTTCTTCTTCCGGCAGAACATCTATGAAAACTGGCAGGCCTTTTGTTTCTACTTCTCAGCTGCTCAGTCCCTATTATTCAAGACTGCTGTCACAATTGCAAGTGTAATTTACTTTGTCTTATCAAAACAAGTCGGAGAGCTACCAACCGACACCAATTGGGGGCTCTTTTGGACAATCTTCACAATGCCCCTGCTTGCTTTGCTGTATGGAGCCCAGGTCTATGCCTGTCTGATCTTGTACAAGCTTGGCAAACGCTGCCAAGCTATGAGCACCTTTGATGCTATCAAGCTGTGTCATGTGCAGCAGAGCAAAACAATTGGCGCACCTGCCAAACTGCCTGAATCTAAGGCTTTGTTCCGAGCAGAGAGTGAGCACTTCTTGGCTGGCTATGAGACCAATGGACAAAGCATCCAGAAAATTTCACAACAGTGGAATCATTTAGGATCCGTTGCTCTTTTCACCTTGGACCAAGCCTCAGACGAGGATACTACCTCTGACGAACATTCCCTGCAGATGGATCCTTGCATCTTTGAGGTGTGAAACGTCTCCTGCCAGGAAGGTACAGTACAAGAATGCCACAGAGGTCTGGAATTCCAGTTTTCGTAAAAGTCACGAATGTCATTTATTAAAAAAGACAGGGACTTTACTTTGTAAAAGTCATGCGCGACTTTGGCGCGACCTTCGCTCTTTTAAAATTAACATGCAAATTTCAATAAACATTTCGCCTTAGTAAAGGGGGTTTTAGAGTAGGGAAATTATCTACGGAAGCCAGTCGGGGCCAGGCTTAAGCAAAGAACAGTCGAAATTCAGGACTAGGTTCTGTGGGATCAGGGGCAAGAAATTGAGGACCATTACGGGGGGCAAAGGGTTTGGCTTTGCGGGATCCACGGAGACATAAATGGGTAGCTTTCACAAGGGCAATTGAGATACGGGTCTGCATGAAGAACATCATTTGAGAGTAGGAAAATTGAGTTTTGGAGGCAGTAGCAGAAGCAAGGCGTTGTAAGAGAGTCTTGGCTTGAGGGGCAAGCATGCCATCCATTGTTTCGCGACTTTCCTAGATGTGCAATTTTGACGCGACTTTGACGTGAAATGCTCTATCGTAGGTATCTGCTATTTTCCCTCATCATGATGGAATTTGCTTGCTCAAAGGGACGGAGCCGCAACAGCAAGGCGCCGAACGAAACGTACACACCATTTTGATGCTGGATCGAGAAGATGATCGAATGTCAGCATGCCACAGCTCCAGCGGTGCTGCAGCTAGACAAGGAGGGCACAGCGGAGCAAATTTAGCAACAGGCAACCATAAATCTTTCACTGGGATCAGGGGCTGAGAATCCGCTTTGTTTGCTTGTATCTGCCGAGAAGGAGACGTTCCCAGCCTGCGAACTGGATACTTGTGCTTGATCATGCCACAATGAGGTAATAGTAGACTTGTGGTTAGGTTCAGGGTCCTTCAAATGGTGGTCACTATGAGTGGGATGGTTTCTTCCTTGCAAGATCTACTTCGCTGAAGGAACGACTCCAAAACACCCTTGCATAACTGTACAACATCTTGAAGAATACCTTGAATGGATCTTTGCTGATCAGGCGGAACTGTCTCTTGCACAAAGGAACGCACTGCCAAAATGGAACAGAGGCAGAGCATGGCACCAACAAGGTTGGGCAGGAAGTAGGGATAGGTGGAAAGTACATGTAGACACCATCCACACACATTCTTCTCTTGGCAATAAATCTGGTTCCAGAAGTCAGGATATTGTGATACCGGTTCTGCCAAGAAGCCACTCACAACAGGACCAATCAGGAGTCCCCCGCCTTGAAAGGCAATGGCCATGCCCATGGCTCTGGCCTCCAGTTTCTGGTCACCTCTGGCTAGCTCGGACACAAGCATTTTGACACTATCAACCATTCCATTCCATTTCCAAGTCCAAGACAAAACCGCCAGAAGAGCGCCATTCCAAAGCTCGGGGCCAAGCCAAAGAGAAGGGTAAATGCAAAACTGGAGAGCAATGTTGAATAGAGGCAAATGTGCTACCATCCGTACCTGCAATTTTCCCCCATGAATAGGCTGACAGAGAGCGTCCAATCATGAACATGGAAGCCATCAAGCAGGCATATGATCCAGCATTCTCTTCATTGGCATCTTGAAGCAAGCCAATGGCCATGAGCCCAGCATACGGAAAAACACTAATCAAAAGGTATGAATTCGTCAGCATACAGAGGCTCAGGGCTGCAACCGTCCACTTGGAATTTGAATACTCTGAATCTTTGGCTGGGTCCAAGTCACCATCGTCGCTGGCAAATGAGACATCGGAAGTCTCTGCAGTCCCATAGCTGGACTGCTTTGTGAAATCTCTGGCATCTTCTGGTCGTGCAGTTGTCATCTTTTTGAACTTTTAATGTGATAAAATGAAGGCTCCAACTTCGTGCGCAGAAGTTGGTGTGCTATGGTATACTGGTATTTATGGAATAATTGGATTCGATTGGATTCGATTTAAGCCAGCGGAGCTGTGTAACCTCGGCAGAAAGGTTTCAGTGTAGAAGCAGATCCCCCTATTAGCTAGCTACAGGAACGTTGTGGAATGGGCAGTCGTGTATAGACAAGATGGTTTGGAATTAAGACAAGATTGGAAATCTCGTTTTGTCCTAATTCTTGATTAGGACACGACATCTTGTCCTATAATTCTCACTAGACAAGATTGGGTGACAAGACTGGTAGATTTAAGACAAGATCACGAAACCAATGACAAGGCAGAAACCAATGACAGCCACTCAACAGCAACAATCAAAAGGAGACCATGGCCGACATCGAAGACGACTACGACGATGAGAACGACATAGGGCAGCTTGTGTTCTCACTCCTAGCGAGAATGCTCAGAGAGGGGTTGCTGTTTGCGCGAACTTCCATGAAGACTGTCGACCGTTGCAATGAATCAACCAGCATCGAAAGGTTCTTGTCGCGATATGTAGCATCTCCAACCGTGCTGTGCGCCATCTTTGAAGACCTCCAACGATCTGAGAATGAAGAATGCAGCGTAATCTCTGGATCAATTCGGTCTGATATTCTATGTCCATGCACTTCTCTCCATCAATACCAACAGCGCCTTGAGCGCGCTGCAAGCGACGGATTCATCGCGACACGTTGTTCAGAGACTGACTTGGTTTACGTTGAAGAATCCAAAAGTGAAGCACGAAAAGAATGTCTGGCCTGCATTATGGCTCGCTGATACATTTGGCGATTAACTGTTGATGAAGCCTATTGCAGATACAATAGCCGACACAGAGTTCCTCTCAAGTTTCTCGAGCTATAATCCCCCAAATACAACAAGCTGGAATGAACTATGAATTTGGCATTTCTGTGAAAGATAGTCGTTTGCTTTGGATGAATGGACCATTTCGGGCTGGTGAGCCAGACTTGTTAACCTTTCGCGAACGTGGCCTCAGAGATCAACTTCGGCAATGCAAGCAGAAAGCAATTGGTGACAGTGGCTATCATGCAGAGGAAGATTTCAATGTCATGAGCACAACCAACAATTGTCATGAGCAAATCGTAAAAAAATTCAAGCGCCGTGCTATCAAACGGCACGAGAAGCTGAATGGCATGACGAAAGAATTCAAGGTTCTCAGCAGCCGATTCATGCACCAAATCCACCGTTTCACAAGCTGATTTGAGGCTGTCACTGTTGTTTGCTGCTACAAGATGGATTTGGGCAGCCCCATCTACCATGTATTGGTGGATGGAATGCAGGATAGCTAGAGCTCTGAGTAATTTAGCATCTAGCTATTTTGTTAGATATCGTCATCCGACTCCGTCTAACAAAAATATTGTTCTTCTCTTCCTTCACCAGCTCGGCCTCGCTCCAACGCGTTTTATCGCCGTAATTGTATGCGCGA